TAACGTCGCGGTGATTTACCTACCTGCAGCCGAAATGTTCTACATTTAGTGGGGTTGGCTTCAGCAAATCATTGGTACAAGTCTTAAAACTGTCAATTTTAGTTTTTTGTTTCTTAAGTAATATCAAATATAATTTAACTAAACTGCACTAGTCCGCATGTATTTTACACTTTCGGTAGAGAGAGGTCAATTTTCCTCACGATATTTTTCTTCCAAGAGAGGCAATTTATCAGTTTCCATAAAATTGATACGACATAGCCCTGTACAAAGGCCTTCTCCGGAAGTGGTTTTCTTTAAAATTCCACGAACCAAGCATAATAGCAAATACAATAACTTTTACACGTTAATTTTTTTCTATGAAAGGGTCCCGGAAGCGTGGCAGCAGGGGTGAACTTTCAGGTTCTCTTGTGACTTTGGGGCTTTTTTCGGGTGATCTGTTCTTTAAGGTATATTGTTCGCGCGCTCCAACGACGGGAAAACGACCCACGAACAGTGCAATCGGAATAGGATCACACAACACCTCTCCGTCGGGGTTTTGCACAAACATTTTACCCTGCAGTGTCAAGAACAGACCGCCCGAACTCGGCTTGTACTCTAAACTCCTTTATTTAAAGGATCGAGACACTTATCAATGTCATTTTAAACTATGAAGGGGAAGGATAAACTGGTTTACTCACAATCATCGGTGACGAACGGTAAGGTGAAAATCAGAGAAATTCTGGTCAAAATATGATCATACAGTAAACGTATAGTTTACAACGGAATGCAAAGTAAGTAAACAAGCAAACTTTTGATGGCGCCCTATACTGATTCCCACTCACCCGACGCCAGACTGGTTTCCTGTCCCACCGTTGTCCTTCGGACTTTGAATGTATGAACAGGTAGCTAGCAATGAAGAATCCCAAATGCGTTAGGGAGTTTTCCTAATAATGGATGCAAATTATATGCAGGACTGGCCTGACTCCTGCCCCTGAATAACCAGCCTTAGCAAAATGGCAACAAGATTTACCACTAACGTGCAGCTTGTATGGTGAGGAGCTTCAATTTTTATTCCACATCGTTTTCTCTTTTTTTTTTTTTGGGGGGGGGGTCAACAATAATGTTGCACATGCGCAGGGGCTTGGCTTTACATTTGATCTAGCTAGCCGTCCCATATTTGTTTGTTTGTTTGTTTGTTTTGTTTTGTTTTTGAGGGGGGACCAGTTTAATCTGACGCAGCCTTGTCCAAAAGGGGGTTACTTTATGTTCAACCTTGTTCTAACAGTAACATCAAGATTTGGAACTTTCTTCCTGTATCCTGATTAGATGAAGCAATAGCAAGTAATAGATTTAGACCGTACACTTGGTGTTTGATCTCGATAAAACAACTTGATTACGGACAAGGGCGGATCCAGGGGGGGGCCAAAGGGGGCCATGCCCCCCCCCCAAAAAAAAAACCAAACCAATTTTTTTTTTTTTTATGTGACATCGCAATAAAGGCAGGCAATGAGTACACCATCTTTTCCTCAAAAAAAATTGGATTGGTCAGAAATTGCCTCAGATCGCACCACAGAGCATTTAGAATCCAAATTTTTTTAAGCGGGCCCCGAACCCCACGCCGTAATTTTTTGACCCACTTTTTTGGAGGACCACAATTTTTTTTGGCCCCCCAAAAAAATATTGTGTTCTGGATCCGCCCTTGATTATGGATTTTTACGTTCGCTGTGAATTATTACTTCCAGTCCACCTAAGAAAACAACTCCCTTTTCCATTTTGTGACACTACACATTATATTTGCTAGCTAAGATTGTAATTTGGTTGGCGTCATAAGTTAACGTGGAGAAATCATTGTCAGAAATGTCGTACAAAATGTATATTTCACAATATATGTACATTCATTTATAATTTGTATTTACTTACTTTCACCACATATCCACTCAGAGAGCTCACGCCTCCTTCAAGGCTAAACAATTTCCCGCCATTGCACACAGCACCAATGAACAATTGTGGTTTGTACAGGGTGAGTAAAAAAAAAACGAAAACCCAAATCTCGGGACTATTGTTTTAGTAAAAATTCAGCATGTACCACTTTCAAAATCTAGGATATGCAAGCCCAATTCATAAGTTTGACACAAATCATTCAAATCACTCATTGACTTTATAAGTTACGGAATTTTAAGCACAACCACCGTTTTAAAGTTCTTTGCACGGATAATAGACAAGGCGTGCATTCCTTTCAGCAAAACAAAAACATATGTCACCATCCTCATAGGCTCTCAACAACGTAAAGTTTGTGAAAACTTTTCCTGTTTAGGAACCTTTTAACTGCTAAATATAAAGTTCGTGTCGCGGGCGCTTACAGGCGTTGATGTTTGATGACTGCATAAAGCGGTTGCTAGATGCATTGATAGGCTATATCTTGAATTTTCTCCACAGTTCTTTGGTTTCAGGACTTGTCTTTTTGCCAGCTTGTTGGCCTACTCATAACCTTTCGAACAACGTAAAGTTTGTGCAGAACTTCCCATGTAAAGGTACCTTTTGACTGTCATATACGAAGTTCGTGTAGCGGGCGTTTGCAGGCATTGCTGCACAAAGCGTTTGCTAGATGCTTTAATGCGATATATCTTGAATGTTCTCCACAGTTGTTGGGTTTCAGGACGTTTCCTTTTTCCAGCTTGTTGGTCTACTCAAAAGCTTTTGAATACGTAAAGTTTGTGCAGAACTATTCATAACTTAGATTTTCTCCACAATTCTTAAGTTTCAGGACTTGTCCTTTAGCCAGCTTGTTGGCCTACTTATAAGCTTTTAAACAACGTAAAGTTTGTGCAGAATTTCCCATGTTAAGGTACCTTTTGACTGCGATATACGAAGTTCGTGACGCGGGCGCTTGCAGGCATTGCACTTGATTGACTGCACAAAGCGGTTACTATATGCATTGATACGCTATATCTTGCATTCTAGACAATTCTTGAGTTTTAGCACTTGCCTTTTTGCCAGCATGTTAGCCTACTCATCAGCTTTCAAACAAAATAAAGTTTGTGCAGAACTTCCCATGTTAAGGTACCTTTTGACTGCTATATACGAAGTTCGTGACGCGGGCGCTTGCAGGCATTGCAGTGGATTGACTGCACAAAGTGGTTACCAGATGCATGAATGCGCTATATCATGAATTTTTTCCACAATTCTTGGGTTTCAGGACTAATCTATTTGCCAGCTTGTTGGCCTACTCATAGGTTTTCGAATACCGTAATGTTTGTGCAGATCTTCCCATATTAATGTAACTTTTGACTGCGATATACGAAGTTCGTGACGCGGGCGCTTGCAGGCATTGCAGTGGATTGACTGCACAAAGCGGTTACTAGATGCATTGATGCGCTATATCTTGAATTTTCTCCGCAATTATTTGGTTTCAGGACTAGTCCTTTTGCCACCTTGTTGGCCTATTCATAAGCTTTTAAACAACGTAAAGTTTGTGCAGAACTTCCCATGTTAAGGTACCTTTTGACTGCTATATACGAAGTTCGTGACGCGGGCGCTTGCAGGCATTGCAGTTGATTGACTGCACAAAGTGGTTACTAGATGCATTGATGCGCTATATCTTGAATTTTCTCCGCAATGCTTGGGTTTCAGGACTAGTCTATTTGCCAGTTTGTTTGCCTACTCATAAGCTTTTAAACAACGTAAAGTTTGTGCAGAACTTCCCATATTAAGGTAACTTTTGACTGCGATATACGAAGTTCGTGACGCGGGCGCTTGCAGGCATTGCAGTTGATTGACTGCACAAAGTGGTTACCTAATGCATGAATACGCTATATCTTTAACTTTCTTCACAATTCTTGGGTTCAGGACTTGTCCTTTAGCCAGCTTGTTGGCCTACTAATAAACTTTCGAACAAGGTAAAGTTTGTGCATGTTAAGGTACCTTTTGACTGCGATGTACGAAGTTCGTGCCGTGGGCGCTTGCCGGCATTGCTGTTGGATTGACTGCACAAAGCGGTTACTAGATACATTGATGCGCTATATCTTAAATTTTCTCCACAATTCTTGGGTTTTAAGGACTTGTCCTCTTGCCAGCTTGTTGGCCTACTCGTAAGCTTTCGCACAACGTAAAGTTTGCGCAGAACTTCCCATGTTAACCTGTTAACTGACAAACCACAACGTCGATAAAAAGAAAAACATAACCTCCTTTGCGAAGGTAATACTATAAAGGAGCAGTGGAGCCCTCCACAGTCTCTGTAGTGTGTAAAAAAAATCACACATATCGTCAGAGTTTTCACGAAGAGACAATTTTGGCCACGGGGCGTTGAAACATAGTTTTGAGAAAATCGACTTTAAAGTTGAACCCTTTTTAAACTGGAGATTTCGCCTATTTTTAAAGGACATGTTGATTATTTGTTTATACCGATAGTAAGCTGAAATCTCACACTTACACATTGTACCAATTGCGAGTCAATAGACCAATTAATTGCGGAGCAATTAACGTTCATAGTCAATTGTCTCTTCGTGAAAACTCAAAATTCCACAGGCGATTGGTTTTTCCGGGAAAATTGGCAATGATCCAATTGTCTCTTCGTGAAAACTCAAACTCTCCGCTATCCAAACACGCACAAATTGGCTCTTCATGAAAACTCAAATCCCACACGCGCTTCGTTTTGCCCGCACGCGTCGTTTGCTTGCGCGCGCTCGAAAATTGTCTCTTCGTGAAAACTCAAAATCGCACACTTGCGTTATTTTGTCCCCATAGAACAACGTGCATTTTTGCTACAATTGTCTCTTCGTGAAAACTGAAAATACGACTTTGGTGAAATTTTCCCTTTATTGATTCTCATGATCTCAATGATTTCATCTGATTTTGACAAAACAACTTCACCAAGATGTCCGTTGCAATACACTTAATCGATTTTGGCCCAAAAAAGAATTTCGAAAATATACTGATTTTTGCCAAAATTGTCTCTTCGTGAAAACTGTAACGATTTGTTTGGTTTGGTTTTAGGCCAAAGACAAAATACAACCCGTCAGAGCTGTGAGGCGGTAATTTGTTCAATTTTAATTTCATTTAATTGCCAATACACAGTAAACAAATCTTAAAATAAAATCATCCCATATACATGAAAAAATTAAAGAAAAAATAAAAGAAAGAATCCACCCCGCTAATACATAAAAAAGGGATGTGGTCTTGCTTATTAAAAAAAATTAAGGCGCTTAAAAAAACTTGTTTTTATAAAAATCGATTTCATTTTAGACTGCAAAGACCATATTACAATTTCTCTAAACATGTTCAAACACAAATTCATCTGGTGACTTACTTGGCAATACACTCTAAAAACTGGAGTGTTCAATCCAACACTTACATGAGTTCGGTCAGTGACCATACTTTGAAAGTGTTGAATCCAGCATTTTTAAATATTGAACCATGCATTTTCAATCCAACACTTAGACTGTTATGTGTTAATTCGACCTTCTTGTTTTTCAAGTTTAACACATTGAAAGCGGTGAATCAACATGATCAACATTTAAAATGTTGAATTAACAGTTGAATTTAACATATAAAATGCTGGATATAACACCTTTAAAGTGTGGTCACTCACCGAAACATCCTTTAAAGTATGGTCACTCACCGAACTCACGCAAGTGTTGGATTCAAAACTTACATGAATAGCAATATAATTACAATTTGAGTTCCTCAATTCAAATGTCGATAATGACACCCTTTAAACAAAATGTGTATTAAATACTGAATCAGATGGCACCAGTTAGGAGCCATTATTGATCATAGCACAATGTTTATACACATGCCAACTTCATGCTCATGCGGCCAACTGTGTCTGTACAACTTGCCAAAATATGTGCACACCTCAAATAAACCGATCCATTATAAAGCCCCGCCCACTGCGCACTAATCAGGAAACAACACGTGCGCCTCTTCAATGTCACTGCATATCTAAGCCGCGCGCAGCATACGCGCGTGTAGGCATGTCGGACATTTATCAAGGCTGTGATTGGTCAAGTGTTTTGGGAGGGGCGTGACGGATTGGTCGATTAAACAAGACGTGCAGCGTGAACGCCAAGTGTTACCACCTGATTAAATCGTCTGATGACGTTAGTTGAGTATCTAAAGGCCTTCACAAACTAAGTGATAAGAACTTCAAACGATATCTAATTGAGAAAAACTTACAAAAAGGTTCGACGTGTTACACGACGTATTACAAGACGTAACATGACGTGAACACATAGTTTCCCGAAGTGAACTCCAACAAAAGAGACTATTTCAGATAAAAAAAATACGTATCCAAAAATTAAATCCTAGTACGTACAAAAGTATATTTTGTTTTAAACGTGAGTTAAAATGTACATACAATTATATATGACGAGTATAGAATACATGGACGTGGATATATTTAATTACAAAAATACTGTGTAAAATCTTTCCATGGCAAACGAATATTTACAGACTCTGTTTTTCAAACTTAGAGTTCGTATTTCAAAACAAATTGTTGTGTGTACTTAAAGAACACTTCCTTTTCATTTAAAATATATACATTGGCGCAACGAATTGATTTTTCTGGGTTGCTTTTTACAATTATTTCAACGACATGATCATTTTGGCAAAATTGAGCCTAGCCCTAAGGGCACCTTTTCCAGAATTAATCGAGACTACAACTTACAGTACTGTATACTGTGCAATGCACAAGAAATACTACTTTTGCACTTCTCTTCCGCAATGCCTCGTCTTTCTACCACCACTTAGTCTTGTGAATTTAAGAGGTAGCAATAGTATTGAAAGTATACTCAAGATCTTGGGATGAGACCAATAAGGCTACCATCGTTACAGCAGGTATCTGACTATTCAAGATGAATGTCAAAGACAAACAACATGGCTCTGTTCGTGACAAATCACATCAAATCATCGCTCTGAATAATTGTCTCCTGAATGGATGTCTCAGGCCGCTATAAAAAGCATTTTGGATGAAATTCCAAGCATACCATACCAAACATACAGTATTCGAACCAGTTACGAGGTAAATACATATAGGTAAACAAAAAAGTTAAAATTGGTAATCTTAATTATTCATTGAAATATAAAAATTGATGTCTTTTGTTGCTGATGAGGATTCGGCTCTCCTATCCACCAGTCATTTGTTTAATTGACTTAGAATACACGTAGGCCTATACGGCAATATATTTCAACTATTCCACTACCACCCCCAAATTGGTTTAGTTTACACATTATGATTCCCTGTATTAGAAAGAAAAAGAAGTAAACTGCTTAAACACTTTCCATTCCATCAGCGTATTAAAATAATCGAACCCTTGTCTCAAAGGAATGCACATTACTTGGGTCCTTACCTAAGTTAATTGACACTAACACAAATGGTTATCTGACCGTAAAAGAAATATGTTGTTTACGGTGGAACAATTTAGGCATTGTTTTCTGACATGTCCTTCCCCTTTTAAAATTCTTGTTAAACATGTAGTGGAATATGAGCGGTTCAAACTACAGCGTGTGAATACCAAACACACAATATCGTTCACCATTCATACATATTTGTTCTTAAAGATCTACCGCGTCATAATATGCTGTTGAATTATGTTGGGGTTATGGACATATTTTGGTGGATGCTAGGTCCCTGTGTAAGCTAATAGTAACCATCGGTGATGTTGCTTGAAGCGGGAGCCACGCCATGCATCTGCATCAGACTAATACCCCGCCCGTACCGGTCACTACCAAGGTCACCCGAACGGGACCCGACAGCATCACGAACCCGACCCATGCTGTTGGCGTTCGGTACGGCGCCGCCATTTTGATGGATGTATCCATTCTGGCGAGTGGGGGCGGAGCTGAACCTGCTGGAGCCCGAGTAGAAGCCGCGTGGCTCCCTGCCGTCCACCACCATGGTGCCGCCGTTGCTGTGGTATCCCTGCCGGTCGTCCTTCACCGCGCCCCTCACAGACGCCCGTGGGATGATGTACCCGGTGGACGTATTGGTACGGTCCGGCTGGCCGTAGCTGACCTCCTGGGGGCGTTCTTGATACTGGCTCTGCTCAGCGCTGTAGATGCCGGGCTCGCGATTGAAGAAGTCGTCCTCGTAAGGGCCGCTGGTTTCTCGGGGGCGTTGGTGGCTACGCGACCTGTTGGTGGCTCTGCGGTGGTCGTCGTACGAATCCTAACAATTTAAAAAAAAGAGATAGACAGCAAAATGTAAGCTAGGTTGCAACAGGTGTTATATGCAACTGTTTTAAAGACATATGGGAAAAAACAAATTGCCAGAGTTTATAAATCTCCCAAATTGTCATATTTACGTCACACGTTTTTTGCCAAACAAGGAGCTATACGACTGCTTCAGTTAAGATTTCAGGAAATGTACACCAACGGTGAAGGAATTGAAAATCACATCACTGAGCAAATATTTGCCTTTATTAATACTTTCTTATTTCCAAAAAGGAAAACTAGGGAAAATAGTTTAAGAGTGAAAAAAAACCTCTGATGTCTGATCGAAATGCATTGATAGATTCAGTATAATCTCGATTCAAATCTTGATCAATGCGACTGAATGATTTTTGCTCAATTAGTCTTGTCAATCCCTCGTGTATGGAATAAAAAAAGAACCTCTATTCAGAAATGTAAGAGTCAGTACCAAACGAATGCTGAGACAAAACCACACCGCCCATAAACTATAACACATATTATGTTCAAACAAATGCGGTACATAGGGTGCAAACATATGCTCATACTATTGAAAGTGAACTTGAGTAGGCCAAAAATTACATGCCAAAAATTACATGTTCACACGACATTGTTCGAATGTTGTTTCTGAAGTAAAGTTACTAAATTGCCACAGTAAAAAAAGTACCACAGAATGGAGTCCTGACATCGCCCTCATTTGTTTAAAATATGGCCACATTCTTACCGACTCGTCGTCCAGACTAGCGCAGCCGATGACGCAGTTCCACACCATGACGAAGAAGAGGATGAACACGGCCAAGACGGCCTGCACCGCCGACAGGATCACGCCAACGCTCGGCGACGGATCGCCCTGCGGCACTGCCTCATTCTCCAAGTAGGTGATGTAGCTGTACAGGGCAGCGCTCAGTAGGCAGCACAGCACCAACACCACGTTGTAGATCACCAGGAAGTATTTCTGAGGGGAAATTTGTAGAATACAATCCAATTAGGGATATGACTCTGTTTTGAGACATGGTGAACACCATACAGGGTGAGTAAAAAAAAATCCGAAACATAAATGTCGGCTCTACTGTTTTAGTGAAGTTCTACACAGTGGCGTAGCACGGTCATTTTTATTGGGGGGGGGGTAAAAATTTCTTAAAAAGGGCACTTGCACATCCGTTTTGAAATGTAGACACGTTTTTTCCCCGGACACTTGGCCTCCAAAAATTCAAATAGTAGGGGTGGGGGGGGGGGGGTACCATCCGTCGATGGGGGCGCTCCTTAAAATCGACGATTGTGCACACTAATGGTGCTTCTCAGGGCAATACATGCGCGTAATTCACAAAAAAGGCACCCGGAACGGCCAATGACACAAAAAAGGGCACGACTTCTTTTTAAAAAGGGCACTTGGTCAGAAAAAAAGGGCACTTGTTAAAAAAGGGCACTCTTTAAAAAATATTTTTTTTGGGGGGGGGGGTTAAATACCCCCTTACCGTCATATATTTCCTTCACAGTTCGTTTAAAAATGTACAAGTGTTTTAGGAGTGGATTACTTGTAATAATTTGTTATGGACTAATGATCATTTCGTATTAATCCACACTAGCATCTTCAACACTGGCAATTTCCTTCTGTTTTTCCCTTGGAAATACAAACAAGGATGTTTCAAAAGTGCACAGGGACTACAACTTGGAAACCTGAAGAAACTTAAGATGACTTAACTTAAGAAGTCACTTCATTAGGAAGCTTAAATTGAAATGATTATTTACATAAAACAGCCGTTGATTCATGCACGGTGGAACATATTCGACGACAGAGGGCGCCATTTCCGATGCACACGATTAATTTGTAAAAACAACATGGAAAGTATGAAGCAATTCTTCGCTCTTACCAGACATTTATTCCAGAAACAAACAAGAAACAGCTGGAAGACTCCACTGAACACCGCCTAGAGTGGACCAAGCAGAGAAGAATGCATTTACACAGGTTGAAAAATGTTGTTAGTATACCGTCAACTATATTTACATTGTATAGGGTTAACTTTGGCAGATTTTCTCATCTAACAATTACATGTATTGCATGTCCAAAACATGAACAGCTGAACATTTCTCCTGTTGTACTTTGTTTGCACCTAGATGCTTATCTTTAACCTAGTAACACACAAAAATAATGAGATTATGAGCCTCCTAGTGTGTTGAAAGTTTCCTCGTATATTGGGGCAATTTCGGCAGGGTATCGGAATTCAATGAAATTGATATTATTCACAAAACGTGTACAATTATGATATTTACAACCTTTCAAGAACGGACATATTCTGCCAAAGATACCCAGGGTGCCAACGGTACCCCAGTTTACGGAAATGTCATAGTCAAATGTCATTTATAGGCCTTACAGAAATGTTCGATGAGCATCCAATGGGATTCCCATGGGAAACCCATCGGGTCATCAAGAACACCATGTAAGTTAAAATGATCACAATGGAAGATTGCATGCTCATCATAGGAAACCCATGGGAACAATATGGAGATAGCATGGACAACATGGGAACATAATGGGGATTTTACGAGCTCCATGGGAACACCATGGGGATTTTATGAACACCATGGGGATTTTATGGACATCATGGGGACACCATGTGGAATTTATGAACACCATGGGAACACCATGGGGATTTTATGGACACCATGAAAACACCATGCTGATTTAATGGACACCATGGGAACATCCTGGGATTTTATGTCACCATGGGAACACCATGGGGATTTACTGGACACCATGGGAACATCCTGGGGATTTTAGACACTATGGGTACACCATGTACGCCGGGTTATACTGGCGAACATGCATGTGCCATATGATGCAGAATACTATAATGAAAAAGATTTCAAAAGATAGATTTTAGCCAATATATTGATGTCAATGTTCGAATTAAAATTAATATTTTGCTATAGGCAGCCGTTGCCAATAATAAAGAGACTGTAACATATATATTATCAAATCGTTGAAAAAATGCAATACTTATGGGGTGCTTTTATCTGGAAAAACTTTGCAAATATGATGTCATAACAATCATGTACATTTCGCAACGAGGCAGTTTTTTTTATGTAATACATGTATATGTTTAGGAAGACATGTTTACTTTTATATTCTCTTACCACCTATACAAGTCTTGAATCATCCAAAAATTCCCACAGTGCGAAAAAACAATGACTTTTTTTGTAGGCCGGAAATTAATTAAATCGGGCATCAAAGTCCATTAAAAGAGCATAAGTTGAGGTATTTGGGCTATACTGTTTCTTAAAGGGCCAATGTAATGTACTATTTTGTTTAAAGCGATCCTTCTAAATGCACCTTTGTGTCCCATTTAACCATATTTACAATTTTCATGTAGCCATTTGTAAGGGTATGCTGGTGGCTGTTTGGATTTTATGCTAATGCATATTTCCATATTATGAGCAAACTTGTGAGCAAACTTGTGATGTGATGAACTTGTAATGCCTAATTTTAGCTTTACTTATTATTTGCTGTGAACATATTCTTCTTCTTATGATTTACCATGTAGGTTCTGAATGTACTTGATTTGTTTTGTCTTGTCCTGTTTGTGTTGGTTCCTTGTCTCTGTATGTGTAACTTAAAGTGTACTTCATTGTGTAGGTAAGTTAAAGGAACAAATGTAATTAATATATATTTTTTCTCTACACATAATGGACTTCTCCACTTGACAAGCTTGCTTTTGGGAGAAGCCCACCGCTTAATCTTATCCGTTCATCTAAATTATTGTCTAAACCTTTTCCCTTTAAAATGATTAAGTGGAAATAAATATGAATGAATGAATGAATTAATGATGTCATTTCAGGGAGAAACCTCAATGTTACACCGATTCTGCACCAAAAGTTGCCAGAACTTTGGGTACTTTGCTGTTGAATAATTTTCTTTTCTTTTGTGATTTGTTGTTGTGTCAGTACATGGCAGGAAGCCAATGAGCAAACTATTCTCACAAATGTTTTCAATGAGTAAATTTTTGGATTCACAATTTTAATAGAAACCCATAAACTGAACATTGTCTTCCAGAAATGACATCACAGCAACAGTGCCCCCAGTTGACCAGAAAAAAATATGGTTAATTTGAAATGTCTAAAAAGTGCACTTTTCAATAAAATTAACTAAAAAGGAATGTCAAATAGTTTTCATACAATTTAGTTCCTTAAAAAAATGTATTGCATGGACCCTATTAATTAAAACCAGCTTGTTTAAGAAAACATGTTTTTGATTGGTCTGGTCAACATCTGTGCAATAATTAGGGCCAGAGACATGATAAACAGTATTTAAAAAAAAATCAACTTACCAAACCGCCAGTCCAGACCGCGGCATAGTAGTTGTACTCAACCTCCTTCCCACGGATGCATTCGTAATAGCAGCCCACCCACGTCCCCACCAGGCCCCCGCCCAGCATTATACAGAGGAACGCCAGGGGAACGAGGCAGAGGGCACTCGGTCGGCCATATTTGTCCGGATAGCAGCACATACTGAATGGACCAAATGTGTGTGTGCTTCTATGGAGAAATTGTTATGCTGTCGACAAAATAAAAAAAAATCGTCAAAATATAATACATGCACTAAAAATCGAGAATTTGGTTTCTTGATGTCACTGAGAACGTCATAGTTAGGAGGTGTTTGTTAGAAAACACTCATCCATCAGTACCTTTTCAACCGGCACTGCTTCACATGATAGAAAATAATGACGTGCATTGTGGGCATTGAGTCATCTACAAACCTCATTGTGTACAGTTTAAATCATACATTTCAAAATGTCCACTGTGCGGTTTGGATGATGTGTATAGGTTTGCAGTGGGGTAGTTTTGGTTGGGTTGGTTTGGTTGGGTTGGGTTGGGATGGGGTGGGTTTGGGTGTACAAATGTACATGTACATGTACATGTATTTGGTTGTGTTGGCTTCGGTTGCATATGGATGGGTTGAATTGGGTTTGGGTGAGTTAGGTTGGTTTGAAATGGATAAGTTCAATGTTGGGTAGGGTTGAGGTGAGTTGGTTAGATTAAGTTGCCGGGTTGGGTATGGTTTGGATGGGGGTGTTGGGGTTACAGAGGTTGGGGTATAATGAAATTTGTTCGGTTTCCTATGGCAACAACCACTGAAATTAATTGTATCACAAAAATGAAGGAGACATTTTTGTCTACCAACAAAAAAGGAACATTTAGATAGTACCCATCACCGTTAAATTTAGTTCAGAAGTTGTAGGCTTAAAATGCTCTTCTCCAGCAGTATTTAAAAAAATGTAAGTGAAATGATTTATATCTACAGTGTATTGATGCTCAGTCGAATAACATTGCAATTTCAGATCATAAAATCGACGTTGTATACTGTTACGATACAGAGCGATGCATCTTTGTTTGTTTTTAGCCAAGAACAAAATAGTTAATTATTTAAGGACTCGTTAAAATTACAAGTGGAAAGAACGTTGCATTCTGACGCAACTTTTGTTAATCACATAATCTCAGTGAAGGGTGGACCATATGCAAAAACAAAATATTGAAAGACATGAATTTGGGACTGATGAGAAAGAAAAGTCAATTGTGATAGGAAACACATAGCAAATGCACTCAAGTCTCCATAGCCTGTTTGCAGTGGCGTCTGGATAGCTACACTCTTTTTTCCTTTAAAAGTTCATTGGCAATAGGAAATATTATATAAATTAATTTCAATGTTGTTTTTATTTCTTGATAACCACCCTCGGAAAGGATTCCATACCTGGACATCACTTGCAATGTGCTTTCTATTCTATTCTACACATCAAGCATCAAGTGCGCAAAGGTCAAACCCTATGTGTCAAGGTACATGTATTACAATTCACCAACATTCAAAATTGCTCAAGCAGCCTTCATGGTCGAAATTCACAAAATAAATAAGTACAATAAACGGTTCCATACCTTTAAAAATCAGCTCCTGTACATGCACCACAAGCACACTGTTGCAGTCCACACCAGTTGTATAAGAGTGCAACCATGAGAAAATGCTTCAATTTTGTCGTCCGGAGTTACCACAAAACTACTCTCGAAAGAAACACGGCCTGTGCTGAAAGTTATACACGCCAGGGCTATGTACTTCCTGCCCAATAATATTTTAACTGCAAACATCGACGTGATCAAAATATTTTGGGGAGTTACCGGTTGTGACCCCGATATTGCATTGACTTCGGTGAATCGTGCATTCATATGAGCAGGTTGCGCATGAATGATTCTGAATGGCCTGCACTTTGGGGGCTGAAAGTTTGTATACGGCTGTTTGGAGAAGTGAATTCAAAATACATTTCTGAATGTCGTACAGAGTTGTGGATACATTTAACTTCGAAAAGTATATATTAAACAATCAGTGGTCATTAGGAATACTGTCAGCGATTACTTATTTCACTGGACACCAGTAATCCTTAAAAAACCGTTCATTCGCCTATTGCTCACTGCAACAGCCGTCGGCTTACCTGTGATGTCAGGTATTTAAAACTTTCTGAAGCAGAGATAAATCGGAGTAGAAAGGAAGCTGGCGAACTGTGTGAACTCTGGATAAATAGTACCATTGAGAAGCCTGATTAACAATGCGCCCCTTCGCTTTGTTATGGAAATCAGCGAATGGGAAAATGGACACCCGACTAACAACCCTTATGTGGTATATTACATGTGCACATGTATAACGCGTAAAGCTGTGTACACTCGATACAATGCGTATACAACGTAAACGCTGTAATCCGTGATGACGTGTCGATTCGTTGTGCGCCTGTGCTCCATTGTAGAATGATTTTTTTTTAATCAGGTGTTTTTGTTTTATTCCTCCACGTCCACGCCACTACTTAAGGCGTGATATGTGTTCCACCTTAAATAGCCTCATAGCTATATGCCTATAGATTAATTGTGTGTTTAAGATATGTTACTTTGGAAGGAACATGTTCACATATTCACTTTTTTTACCGGGCCTTCTATTGAAGAACATGTAAAATCCATCCGTCTTCCCAACCCGTTCCCTCTCCCTTTGCCCCGCCCCTTCCACAGCCCATGGTTTGGGGCAGAGCCGTATGTGTATTCAGATAGAGATCATCGAAATAAGTTTGCCCCCCAAAAAATCATAGTAAACACTTTTACAATACAAATCAGGAGACTGTTTATTTCAGTCTGCTGAATATTATTTTTTTAATGTTTACAACTTAGTTAAACATTATCATGCACACTTGTTTGTCTAAGAACATCAGCAACATGTAATAATTTCATTTCTGCTGATTTGATTTCTGGAAGTAAAAAAAAAAGATGTTGGAAGCTTTTATTGTACTTGCCCATTTTCATGGATGTTTTTCTGGATTTATTTCACCGCAAATCCCTCAGCCCTGCTGTCTAAATCATTTCAGATTTTATCGAACGTGAACAATTTCATATATTTCACATTCCTTTACTCTTAATGATTAATCACATTCTAATTAAACTCCCGCACAGACACGTCACAACATAAACAAGATTATTGACTGTTTTTGTCTAATCACAATTAATTTCTTTTTAGTTTTTCAAACAAACAAAACTATATGATGATGCACCTAGTCAGTTCCTTTATGGTTTATTAAAAAAAAAGTCAATTAATTTGAATACATTTTGTACGTTCCGGGTGTATAGGGACACAATTCTTTAAAATGTAAATTCCCATTTTGTATCAGACTTTTCGCTTTGATTTTGTTCTCATTCAGATGATTTTTTACCCCAAAATACAAGAAGCAGCCGCGATATACCTACACCGCGACAACCAACATAATATCCAAATAATGAACAAACTCATTTGCATGGGCGTCGCCAGGATTTTTTTCTAGAGGGGGCAAGCCCCCCCCCCCCCCCTCCCCCCCCCCTTTCGACGCCTATGCTCATTTGTTAAATTAACACTGTGAAAAATGTAACACTGTGTACCATATAGTATCTGTGACATCACTCTGACATGTTTGCAGAATATCGTACTTTCTGTAGATGTGAATGTCTTGAGTGAAAACCATGGAAGAGTATATGGGGGGGGGGTCGACTTTTGCTGCGTGGTTTCACTCTTCTATAGTGAAGTTTGCATCTGTTTGAGTGGTTTCTTGCTATGGCCCATAGTGAAAAACCACTCTAAAGGAGTGAATTAACTTCCACTCTTTTAAAGAGCATACGGGGGGGCAACTCCGGTTGGTTTTTCACAATACATTTAGAGAGTAACGTTGTCACATGATGCCGACTCTCCTAATTATATAGATCGATTGCACTCAGCAGCCATCTTGGAGGTGTGTATTGTTATGTTAATTCATTAACAATGAACGCACAGGTGGTCAAATGAGGCGTATCCCTGTTGAACAATCGCACCCACCTCACAGATTTAAACTTCGTGCATTTCAGTTGAAACATGACACATTTTTGTTTAAGTTGTCATATGATTAACTGTTATGTAAAACTTGGGAGAAAACAGGAGAAATGCTTAATTAGTGGCTTCTTCATCAGTCTTCAATGTCACTTTTACGGCGCGACAGAGCTTCTTTTTTTTTACCACTCGATCGTGTAATAGAAATACATGTTCAGTTTACTCGTCAGTCTTCAGTTGCATTGTTATAGGCTATAGTGGTGGATCCACCGAGGATCGTGAGGTAGTCCCCTTTACATTTTTGAAATTACATTTTGAAAATATTGAAATTACAATGAGAGTTCCTACATTATGTTACATTTAATGGTGTTTTAATTGCATATAAGGGTCTAGGCAAGTATCTACTTTTGAATTTTTCACGGGAGGGGTGATTGACACTTGACACATTGAATGGGCTGGTCTTCCTCCCTGTCAATCCCCGTCCCTTTTTTTCTCCGAATCGGGATCCGATTCTGTGCTGCAAGGGTGCCATAAATGTACCCGCCAAATCTGGGTCCGGCAATGGGTTAGGACATGCCCAATCCCACGAATAAAACATCCTCCCTATAATTTACAAGACAACTCCTGTGGCCAGAACACTATCTCCTAGAACCACCAAAGTCCCCCTCCTGCATCACCGAGTCCAGCCCTGGGCTAGAATCCCCCGAACCCAGCCTTCTCCTTGGGCGGGGAGTAGTAGTCCCACCAGCGCAGCTCGGCGGCCGTCACCGAGGCGAAGCGCGGCCCGACCGAGGCCGTGCGGGTGGAGGCGCTGGCCGCATCGTCTCCACCGTCCTCGCGCCGCTGAGCCGTACCGGCGTTCCCCTGGCGGGCCGAGTAGCTCGGCACGCTGAACTGTGCTGATCGGCCAGGGGTTTCCGTCTCGTTTTCGCTGGCAAGGTTGGAGCTTGAGGAGAAGTTTCTGCGGGAGCCGGACGGCCGCGTGCCGGTTGATGATGACCTGGCAGGGCCGAAACCCACCGCCTTCTGGTACTCCCAGATCATGGCGTCCACATCGTCTAAATCGTAGTCTTCGTCGTCCTGCCTCTGCCAGAAAAAAAATATATTGGAACCAAATCACATTTTGTAGAACGTGTAAACAACACAATTGTTTTTTTTAAATATAAGGCCATGAAAAAAAAAGTTTCACAGGTTGTCACGGACATACAGAATGTAAAAAAATGATTAAAACATATGTATATCCAGACCCCTTTAAAATTCCTCTCAGCATAGACAGTTTTAAAATATTAAAACGTGTACAGATACGATATAACTATGGAGCAGCAAAAAAAAACACAACTAAAATTGCCTTGCAGTCACAAGTTAAATCAAAAACGTTTATACATGTATCGAGAAACGATGGACAAACGATATTGACAGCACAATAGACAGACTAGAGAGACAAGAGGAATCTGACAAGACGTGACAAGATGAAAAAACATAGGCAAAAAGACAAAAACCATAGTGTGAATAAATGATGAAACAGGAGAACAAAACAAGACGAACAAAAAACAAAGAAACATCTTGGAAAAAAACAAACAAAGAAATTAATGTACAACAAAGAATTAATCTTTATCAACGATGGCAGTCAACGCGGGATGCTGATGAAAGTTGGGGCCGGGCACGATTATGTTTGTCTCCCTCAGGTTCATACAGACACACATTCAAAATGGTAGAATGGGGCAAAAATCAATCTTACAAAACAACAAGTGAGAAAGAGGTTGTGTCTCCCTTTGCCAAACCGCAGTCCCATATTGTCCCGTGTCTTGATGAAGAAATAGCCTATTAACCGGAGTACATGTGTGCGATTTTTTTTCGACGGGATCCTGGAAAGGACCCATCCTTGATCGATCTTTAACAGCCACACAACTTCTAAATATCCTTAAAATTCACTGAACACCCTGATTAGTCTGTGAATTGATTGACTCACTTTTCCTTTGAGTCGCTTGAAGAAGCATGTGCAGGCCCACGTGACGCTGGTCAGGAAGAGCGCGAAGCTTAAGGCGGCCATGACACCGAAGAGCGCCACGCCCAGCACGCCGTCGCCCAGGCCCTCCAGAGGGCGCCCTTGCGACTGGTACAGCAGGTTCTCCTTGTAGGCGGCGTGGACGGACAGGACGAGTGCCGCCCCGCTGCAAAGGGTCGTGATCAATGTCAACACGTACAATAGAGTTTCCTGTGGGTAGTACATGATGACAGGATATGAAATTAAATAAAAGGCTTGTTAAATTAATGTGCCGTGCGATATTTCAGAGCAATCAAGCAATACGTCCCATTGGTTGCAGGCAAACTATACGAAGAAAGTGACCCAAAAAATATCGATTTCATATGCCATTCTTAGGATTTCTATAAACCGCAAGGTTCCTGTTGCTCGTGGTGCTTCCAGGTGCCTCTAAAATATTGTCGTTGAAGACAATGCCCATAGAACTATACAAGTGAAGTAACCTTCCAAGGCCACCTAATGAATACTTAAGTTATAAGGTGAGCATATATATCTTTAATTAACGAGGCAGAAAATGATTTGAACTTTAGTAAATAAGCCAGGCCGGTATTCCAAATGCGCATGTGCTCATCAAAATTTGACGATATTTCTTTTGGGGTAAACATTTCATCGTATGCGCGCGAAAGCGTAGCGGGTACCAGCAAAATGAAAGAGATTGCCGTGTTCTGAAGTAGCATTTAATAAAAAAAAAAAGGTTTTGGACAGCGAAGTGTTTTAGGTGTATTGTGTGCAAACTTCTCTGCGCACAAAAGTTTCCATCGTCTTTTCGATTGCACAAATATATTGCACAGGATGCAGTTCTGGTTACCGCGTCCCCCATAGCCTTGTGCGCATTTATCTGCCGCGTTTATCCCGAAAGAAAAATCGTTGAATCTTGTTGTGCACATGCGCAGTTGGAATACTGAACTTGCTCATTGATGAAATTATAGCCACCGGATTCGTGTTATAGTGTATTTGTTGTCTATTATTTGAAATTGAAAAACCGATTACTTGAAAAACAAATACATAGGTAACGTATACTTACATATTTACGTTTCCAGTACAGACATGACGATAGCAGTCCAAAGGAGCCGACCAGAACACTCTGTAACACAATTGGAAGGAAAAACAACGATGACCCTGAAACATATTGTTCACAAGGACCTGGGTGCAAAAATGGTGCCGGGACCTTGGACTCGGTGGTCCGAGACACGAACAGGAATGTTTATGAAATGAAAATCTATTTCAATTACGTAACAGGGAGTCAAGTTGGCGTAGCGGTACTTTCCTCGCCTTCCACCGCTGTGACCCGGGTTCGAATCCCGCCCGGGCCAATATGTGGATCGGGTTTTCAGTCCCTACCTGATTCCGTGGGTTTTCCTCAGAATATTCCTCTGGGATTTATTTCTTCCCACCTCTAAAAAGTGTAATTTCATCTCATTGTCTTCTCTCTACAGGTTTCTTCAGGCTTTCGAGCTACAGTGCTTAGGGTACTTTTGAGGAATCCTTGGTTTCATTACCAGAAAGAAATAAAATAAAAATTAATAAACAAATACCCAGAATCCAGGAAATGTCCAACAGCAAGTACCATAACAGGCGGCCATGACGTCACTCCATGATCCATGGCGCCTTTAGTATTAAAACTCATTTTCTTGCATTAACGTTCAGACTTATCAATTTGTGATCTGAGACTTAAACACGCAAATTTGGGAGTCCAACATTTCTGGACTATACTACCAGATATGCTAAGCCTCCAGTCACGTTTGGACTTTTTGCATAATCACTATGTTTTCGGACTTACATCTTAGGGGAATCACTGCAAACTAACAAGCAGAGCTTATAGAAGGAAAACACATTTCCCAAAGTACCCCAAAACTCCGAGTAATTACTTACCACGACCCCGACCCAGAGCGGCGCCGCCAGATCGCTCTCCGAGTTCATCCGGCTCAGACACCAAAAATAGCAGGTCGTCCACAGTATGATGAGCACAATCCCGAGGAAAATGTTGCAGAAACTCGTGCAACCGGTGCACTTTCGGTAGGAACTCCACATAATTGCTATACCTTTCTCAGAGACTGACCGTGCCAACGTCCGGCAGACGATTGCATGCGCATTGAGTGGATTCAATGGCCCGTGCACACCGAGACTGCAGTGGTCTTCTGTGTTGATGTTTGATATACACTCAATCGAAGGAGGATGGTTTTATAATGTATGTTAATCTTCTATCCTTACTGTCATGCTGCAGACACTGCGTACGTATTTGCACTCTAGAAAAGCCTTCATATTCAACCGATTAGGTGCGCAGAAACGTATCAAAGTTAGTATCAAAGTTAAGGCACAACCAGGTGCCTGATAGTAATTGCAGATATAGGCCACGTAGAAAAGGGATGTAACGATTGAATACAGAAGTTACAACAACATCTGAGGCTGGTGTAGGCAGTCACTGCCGACCTTCAGAAACTGTGAAACACAAACAAAGATACTGGCTGGCACAAAGAGCTGCCAGATCGAGCTTTTTTATTGGGACTACTATACATAACGTGAAGTAACCATGGCAGGCTTTTGTAAATAACATTTACAGACTCTATATCGAAGTCAGGAATACGTTTGAAAAGGCCCTCAAGTATTTTCCGGCTGTAAAACAGCCAAGTGTACTTTTACTTCCCCTATGCTTCTAACACAGTGTAAAACAAGTTTTTGTTTTCCTTTGGAATATTTGGTTTGACTTCGTTTCAAGTTTTCTGTCATTTTCTACACTTGTTAATTGGTTTCTCATAATTCACAATGCGCGTCATTGGGTTTTAGTTTTCTTTTGCTTTCCTCTCTTATAATTATTTGTTTGGTAGTGGGCTTATTGGGGTGTTTGCTTGCTTGTTTTTATTTGATAAACAAACACGTTCATTATGTATTCCAAATCACACGTTTTACATGTCTGTACCAATAACCCAGTGTTGTAGTCGAGTACATTTACAAGAAGTACGAGTACTGTATAGATTATTAGGAGAGGGACCGGTCACGTGAGAGGGTTTAACCCTAAAAGGGCCGGGTTATTTTGAGCATCTCTCAGCCGGAGGGGGGGGGGCGGCCCGCCTCCCCCCTCCCGCCTAAGATCTCGGCCATCGAGTGACGAAATATTTGAAACTCAGTACATGCATAGAGCAACTCATCATGAACCCTACCCGACACAATTTCATGACTATAGGTCAAAGCTTAGGTTTTGGAATTATGGCTAATTAATTATTCATATGTACAAATGGTAATTCTGCTCTGTGTAAACGACGTATATGGGGAAATTCAGTTTGCGCTGGAAAATCTTTCGCTGCGTGGCAACCCGTGGTCCGATCTTTTATGTTTTTGGTAAAAAAAAAGATGCGCAAGGCTCGAGGCTAAAAAGTCATAACAGCTCGGGTCGCGAAAAAAAGATCAAGGCTATCGCGGATTCCGCCCCGGCTCTTTTATGGTTAACCAATACAATGGAAAAAGACTTCGAGTTTCATACGAGTCCGATTGTCATATATTACACCGGTCCAGGCATGAGTGGGACGAATACGAATACGGGTACAATTTCAAGAAGTAAAAGTACGATTACGAGTACGACGAGTACCACAACACTGCAATAATCCAATTCAAAACAAGTGAACCGATTCAAATGTCCTCCCAAGCAAATATGGGTTGCACATTTAACTAGCGCCCTCCAGGCCTGGATGAGTGTTTCGTAGGTCCTAGGCACCAGTATTCCGAAGAATGGAGAAGGAAGGGGAAAGGAAGAGGGAATAATAACAAAGTGGATAATGTAAATAATAACACCGCTGCTCAAAACTCCGCGAGGCTAAAATCAGGTTCTGCAACCCACGGCAAAAGATTGTACATTCTGTCATGTTGGCACCGTAAGCTGCCGCGCGAAGTCGCTTCATATACGGGGGTTGACAGCTAAAGCTGTGCATATAAAAATTATAAAAAATATTTTTTAATAATCCACTATAGGATTTAAAGACCCCCCTGCAGTCTGGGATCAGAGAAGGCCCGAACAAGGTATGCGCAAAGGTACTGAGCATGTACATGCAGTTTTGCGAAAATGAATTAAAAACATTATAGCTGGATTGAATTTGGTATTTTCGAGCTTTTTAAAAAAAATAATTACGAACGATTAGTGTTTTGAAAACGGTGCATTTATCATCAAGTTCTTGGCTTGGAAAGTACACAGTACATGTAGATGAAAGGCCCTAGTAAGCACCCGTGGTAGCCCTTGTTAAACACTGAGGAGTGCCCATCATAAGCCCGTAAGCCCATTAACTGTTCGTTAGATGCGTGTATTTCCGACACTTTGTGATTGAAGGATTTGAACCCGACTTAACTACTGAATAATCTCTCATTATAAGAATCGATCATCTAATTATTGGAATTATACTATAAACAATCATAAACAGTTATTATAAGGGAAAAAGATGCCCTCACCATCCTTATCCGGCCATGGTCCCCCCCCCTCCCATTCGGCTTGCCGACGCTTGAGCGTTTACACGCTTTTGGATCTCGCCGCAATTTGGCGCCCTTTTAAATTAGCGGTAGCACTTTTCTCAACAATTAGAGTACAAGCTCTCAATATAACAAATTAATCATTCTTGCAATTGTCCTCCCATAGAAAAGAAAGAAAATAAAACAAAAAGTTATGTGGCGATGGCCAAGTCTTCAGGAGTCGGACTTATGACCCTAACTCAATGAGCCCCTTACCGACTTCCATATAGAACTCTTCCGGGACTCGGTACCCGGCCCACCACACCTCCTTCCCTGTCCATCCATGTAACTCGAAAGTCAGGCACCATAAAGGGAGGAAACGAGGTGGCACCCTAAGCCTTGCTGCCGAGTCAGCAAAAGAACCCCGTACCTATACGCAGACGCCAACCTGGACTTCGCAGACAGTCCCAACTTGTGAGTCAGCTTACCGACCGAGCTAACTGCTGTTGGTAAATGACGACGGGAAATTAATACTCTTAAATGACAGAACCGCGGCCATCGAAAACCAAAAAAATGACACCAAGCGGGTTCGAACCCCTAACCCTGGATCTGCTGTCAGACAGCTTAACGACTAGGCTGTTTCAGTAGGTGCTTTTCTCTTTGCGTTTAAAACATTATCCTTATTTCCGCAGTGGGAGAGTTACTTTGTGTTTCATAGCTGCACGAAAGATGCATCAGCGTCGTGCTATACACATGAATGCTGTTACGTAACTCTTTTCTACAATCATTCTTATGTACTGAGCAGTTGACTCTTCAGAGTCACTTCGAGCAATTAACCTTACCAAGCTCGTCCTTATTCTGTCTCATCAATTTTTGTTTCGCGCCGCACGTCTTTCGGCCGGCACTGACATGTCGCTACAATTGAGAGAAATTTTAGCAAGTTTCCCATACTTCATTATATTTATATCAAACCACTGACCCGATTACACATTTTTACGAGGGAAATTTGTTTGTCTGATTCTAATATTGCTCCCTTAGCTAGCTTGGGAAAATTCATCTTTTCTTGTACTTACTCTAAGTCTAGGGAATGATGCCTTTATAATACAATGTCACATTAACGTTAGCCGATGGCATGATCAGAATCGTGACCACGCAAGTGCAATGACGGCCAGTGGCGTAAATCTGTGCTGGCGAGGGTGGGGGGGGGGAGGGATGGGGGATGACCAAAATCATAAAATTCGGGCGATTCACAATGCAGTGCGCCACCAAGTGTTTGTCATAGAGAGTCATTTTTTCAAATTACGGTCGACAAAACAAGGCCCATTTGAATGAGTGTCATTAAACAACTTTAGCTAAGTGGTTATAAATTCGAGTATAGCGTTCTGCTGCCTTAATAAAAAACACCATATTGATACAAAGAAAAGAAAAAGGCAAATTTATACTCGAATCGTCCGCTTACGAAACTACTGACCGGAAAAAAATATCAATTTCAAATGTCCCGCGCTGGGAATTTGTCGACCCTCTTCCAAAATGCACTGGGAAAAATGAAATCACCGTGGCAAACTCTTGGTGGCACATGAAACGCCCGAATTGCCCGGACGTGGACATTCGAAAAGGGGGGGGGGGGTCTGGGTTGCCATACGCCTTGACTCAAGTCTACGGTCATGAAAAGGCATTTGGGATGTAAAAAACCAAATGCATGAACCTTTGGCGACTGAACGATCTAAATTGGGGTCGTATTGTGTACCTAACAAGTGTATAATTTTTACTAACACCTGCACATGTAATACGCCAATCGGCGGCGGCGGATCGCTTTTAAAACTGGGCCATCACCAAAAAGAGGCATTTGTTCAGAAAAAAAGCACCTTTCGTGTGTGTGAAAGAGGAGAAAATTGTGAATCTATTTTCGTTCACATTGCAAGGAATACATGTTACCCAGAGCAAAATTTACTTCCAACATTGATATACACTTTTTAAAATGTTTGCATTACATTTTAAAAGCTCGAGGAGCTCTATCATTTCTTTACAGGCCAGTTTTCTATTTGCGGTATTTTCGAACCCCCCCCCCCCAAGTTTTCGTTGGCCGCCCCTTTTTTCCCCATAGGCCCCCTTATTATTCGAAGGCCCTGGGCACAGTGCCTAATGTGCCTATTGGGTAATCCGGGCCTGGCGCCCTCACTCTAAAAAGAGACAGTCGGGCAAACTGAACAGTGTACGCCAGCTGTGGTTGGTTGTCAGTGTTACTGATTATGATAACGCTGAATTCCAGGGTGCAGACCAGTAAATCGACTCAATATAGATCTCATTGCTGATTACGCGCACTTCCAAAAATTATTACAAATACTTACAACTCTCCAACGTTTTTGAGGCACCCATCAAATCAAAGCTTATTTCATCATCTGTCATTTTCTGTTCACGTTTTGATTGGTAATTCCATGATTTTGGGAGAAGATTCCATCCAAAGATTATCCCGCCTAACATAGTCTTGTGGCACACCACCATTAAATTAAAAAAAAGAAATGATGCCTGCGCTCCATTGCAAAATAAAGCAACTTTAGGGCCCAATGTCATCCACATTTGACAGATATTACGAGCTCGCAGTCTTGCTGTGCAACGTTCCGCCTATATATTTTAAAACCTTACTTTATGGCCCACAAAATGCTTCATATGTAAACAATGAGGGCATATACAAGTCGTGATTTGGCCTGCGAAGTCAAATTTGGGCCTATTTACTGGTCTGCAGGCCACTCATTAAAATTGAAATTCCCAAGATTCATCCAGTAAAAATCCCAAGAATTCCCAAGGCAATGGAAAACAGTGTACAAAATGCATTTAACAAAGCACGCGGTAGCCTAAAATCATAGAGAATTATGATATTTTTACCCCCAAAAATCCCAAGATCTTGGGATAAATCTGAAGGAGTGGCCACGCTGCCTTTAATATTCCCGAAATTTTGCTGTTTTCCCTCAAACCATTTTTACGGCAAGAGGAAGATCCATAACTCAAAAACAATTCTCTAAGGTTGATATCAGGCCTGAACACGGGCAGCTTGTATGCGCCTTCCCGTGTTGTGGAGCGCCCTCTTGGCTTAATTGAGTTCCAGCCCCCCCCCCCCCCCACCCCCAAATCACCTACCCCACCAACACACTTTTTTCTCTCGATATTGCCGTAAAACGGCTGATAGCCTATCGGCCCTCTGAATATTTGGGAGTATTTTTTTTGCAGATCTGCCCTTGGTGACCCCTTTGAAACACTGGGTCCCCCAAAGTCCCGCCCACTGAAAACAAACTGTCGTAATTCGCTCTTTTCACACTTCGCCATGGACATGCAGAGCCTCGATCTGGCAACTTTGCACAATAAATATAGCCGGTTCATTGATTCCCGTGTCGGGGTTCAGATCAATGAACTGACTATTTTTATTGTGTAAAGTTGGCAGATCGAGGTTGTGCATGCCCAATGGCGGAGCGTGAAAAGAGCGAATTAATATGAGTGGCGGCGTCCATTTTGAAAGTCTATAGGGTGCAGACCAGTAAATCGGCTCCCATTGGTATCATAGATGATAACGCGCACTTTAAAAAAGAATATTCAAAATACTCACAACTCTCCAAAGTGTTTGAAACATCCATCATATTAAAGGGAAAATACAACATTTGCAAACATCAAAAAATAAAACTACCGAAACATTTTGAAATACCTTGCTGGACTGTTAGTGAATGACAGTGTAAAGCATCCTGTAAAATTATGGCACCTGGTATACTGCCATTTTCAAGAAAAGTGGTATTTTTGTATCAATTTCCAACGAAGATCGGCCGATCAGCGTTGGAAAAAACTGGCTTTTTTTCAAATACTGGCCCCAGTTGACCATCGCACTTGTTTGCAATCGATAACACACCTATGAACGGGTACAAGCCAGCTAGACTGGTTCCCTGACCTTACAATTCCCCAATATATGTAAACTGCTCTGTTTCTTCTTAAATGGAGTCAGGGAACCAGACTACAGGAAAACGATTGTTTTTCTTGGTTTTTATGGCATTTTCGAACCCAAAACCTCAAAAAAGTCAGTGTAACTATATTTGCTATATATTTCCAACCCCCCAATTCCATCCATTTGTGAAAATTAAAGCAAAAGCAAATGATGTATTTTCCCTTTAAAGCTTATTTCATCATCTTTCATGTTCTGTTTAAATTTAGGTGGTAATCCCATGAGTTTTGGAAGACAATTTTTTGTCCAAACATGATAACCCCTAAAGGTAGTCCTGTGGCCCATCGCCATTTTGAAAAATGATGCCTGCGCTTCTTTGCAAAATAAAGCAATGTTAGGACCCGATTTCATCTAATTTGCACAGACATACGAGCTTGCGGTCCAGTGCACGGTTTCCACCAATTTTGTTTACAGACCTTCAGGTTTATGGCCCACAAAATTTTGAAATAGCCAACAAAATGGAGGAATACAAATCATGAGTCGGGTCGCGCAGGCACTTTGGGGCCTATTTATTGGTTTGCACCCCTCACTAGGTCAATGCTGTCCCGGTTTACTGCCGTGATATTCAAAATAAGGATTCGCGTAATTCATTGCATTTCCGTAAACTGTTCCGTTGCAATCAATCTTGAACACTGATTCAGACCGCACAACAAGTAATAAGCAAATCTCCAGAATTCAAATCAATTACAAGTTTCAAATTCCTTTTAAGTAAATACGTTTGTTCAACATGATAAGAAAATACCTTTTGTTTTGTTATTATACTTTTAGAAAAAGAATACTTTTTTCCTCACTAAGTTCACAAAAATATCCGTCGTGATCGTTGATGCACAGAAAGTTATAAAAATATGGAAAATTCATAATGAGAATTCGCAAGAAACATCCTTGCTCTACAAAAGTAAATCTTGCAAGAAAAATATGAAAAATTTAACAGAGAAAGCAATAACGAAGGCGGCATGCCCATCTCAATTTCAACTCAGATAAACTTGGTAAAAAATGTACAGCCAAATGTCATGGGTCTAAATATACGGCAGGGCATATGTAAGCGAATGTTTTGTTTAGTTTTGTTTACAAAGTTCGTCCGCAGGTCATGTCAACTTGTTCATTGTCTTTAGTAGGGTAATAGGGCCAAGTAATGAGAGTAGGGAATGTTTTCAGCGTGCCTTGCTGCAGAGCGCAGCGGGAAGCGACCCGGGGAGAAATCGGCAGACGCGGTAGTTAATTTCTCCGTCTCAAATGCTTATACAGAGAAAAGGTCCAATCGTATTAAAGATTAGGTCAGGTTTAGATTCTCAGTCTATAAAAGAGGTTTGTGAAATGTGACGTGTGAGTTCGTAATAACAGAAGTGCCACCTGAATGCGAGGTGGCGGTCCCTTTATAAAGGGACAATGACAAGAATGTTTCTTAGAAACATAATTTTGTTCAACATTTCACTCCTCTTAAATGTATGGCAACTATTTGTTATTTCATTTACGTCAATTTTTTTTTGAAAAGTGGTGAACTTTTTCTTCTTCTTCCTCCAAAAATGTTCCATACTTTTCCTGACAACTGAGGGCGCTGTTGCTGTGATTTCATGTTTAGGAACAATTGTTTTATTAAGGGGTTTTCTGTTGAAAATATGAACCCCTAACAATATTGATGAATGAAAACATTTTTTCTTATTTTGCTCATTGGCTTCCTGCCATGTACTGACAAAACTTCGAATCACCAAAGAAACAAAAACTTACAACAGCAAAATACCAAGAATTTGTGTAACTATTGTTGTGTTGAAATACATTAAAGTTCCTGTCTAAAATGACACCGTTCACACTTCTGCTCAGGAATATGGAACTGTTTATTAGCATAAAAACAAAACGGTACACTTTCAAATGGCAAAATAACAATTGTAAATACAGCAAAATGGGACACAGAGGTGCATTTTCAAGGATTGCATTAAAAAAAAAATAATTACATTAAATGAGCCCTTTAAATAGTATGTAAATGATATCTGAATAAAACTTATCCCTGAAATCGGCTGCTGATGATGTAAATTTCATCGTGTGTTATGATTGAAACAGGTTCCAAATAACTGTATATACACAACAAAGTTATGAGGAGTCATTAAAAAGCATACTCCCCCCCCAAAAAAAAACAAAAAAAAAAACAAGGAAATGATATGCACATTTGAAAACTGATGCTTTCTTGACATTAATAATACGCAACATGACCCAATGTAAATTTTACAAGATAATGGAGTTATACAATGTTACAATATATAACACTTAACTTCCTGCTAATAACAGTTTCAATATGAAATCTGCAATTAAAATGCACATAATTCATTTTAAACATTAAATATATTACAAACATAAAAAGAAAACTACCTCATTGGAAATCACAATCGTAATCAAACGGATATCAGTGTTTTGATTTACCAGCATGTTTTCATGTACTTCCGGCAATAATCATTGTAATCGCTGTTCTCATGTATCATGAAAATACAAGATGGAAACAAAAATGCTGGCACCGACCGACAAAATCCCATGGGCTATAGCCGATTCGATTTCCGAGCAACAGGTGCGAATCAATAGGTACACTGATCGAACTGTCGCGTCGGGGTAGCACCGACAGCTAGCTGCGCATGAGCCCGTAAAATATCCCTCCTCTCTTGCAATGGAAAGCCCCACAAATGTTCTCTTAACCCCCCCCCCTCCCCCCAATAAAAACACACACACACCCACAAGTCCATAAGCCCCTTAAAATCTCTGACCTTTACAAGTCCGTTGATGTTTGCAAGTGCACCGAGCGAACTTTTAGAAATCCCCGTTCAAACTACTAAGTAAACAGCACCCTGGCAGCGCGTGCTTTCAAACGCTTGGGGCATTATAGAGAGTAAATACAAAGACTGAAAGCATATTATGCTTTCAGTCTTTTTTTTTTCCCCGTTAAAACGGGGTTAAAATCTGGAAAAATAAATTTGACCTGTCTGCGATAAAGTTGGTTTTTTGGCAATGTTGAAAAAAATTGTCTTGGCAGCAACTCGCATAATATAGCTCATTCTGTCGAGTTAGAGGATTATTAATCGATGAAAATACTTGATGAAAATACTCCATATGTCACATTTTAAGAGTTCAGTTTAGATATATTCCTGGACTGATTGAATATAGCTTTTTTTTGGGGGGGTATATTATTTAAGATAATTTAATTGATTGTTGAGTTTAATTTGCGCTATCATCTGCAACAGAGTTTCAAGAATTTTTCACGACAGACTTGCTGGAAAAACATATATGCTGTTGTGTGATTTTATTTTAATCCAATAAATTAGAGTGCCGTTTCGAATTGTTGAGTTCCCATCCATCCATACGCATCATGTCAACTTCCAGCATAACTTCGTTTTCACATCCATTCCGGTTATTTTGCTCTTTTTTGTAGACTGTGAACATTTATTCTCCATTTTCATTTTTTTTATTTTTTTTGCGCAGCCGATTTCACCTGTTCTCTTTGAACTTCACGCATGATGCACAGCGAGCCTTTCCACCAATGTTACTCGCCCTAGTTGTGCATAACGAAATGTGCTAAATATGCATAATCCATATTCACATGTTTTGAGCATAATGGCCATGTACGCCACTCCTACCTAGTGCGTATTGTGAGTTGACCTTGTTCGCAATTCGTAGTGAGGCGAGTTGACGTGCATTGTGTACTGCGCTGTTCATTTTAGAGGCGGCGTTTTATGGTGTATTGCTTCATTTGGGTCTCCTCGGTTGTATTATTGAGACTGGCGCCGTGAGCCGCTCGCTCTGCAACTGCAGCTCATTCATCTGGCGTTCCGTGTGTTTACGTAGAGGATGGGGATCCAGTGCTTCACTCGTGTGTAATTCCTCTCACAAGGTCACCAGCGATTCCCAGACCAGCGCGGCAACTTTCTAAAGCACTGTCACCGTGAGTGCTTCACTGCGGGACCCGAGCATTTGAGCCAAATCGTGTGAGTTGTGTAGGTGTTGTGGAGCCGTCTTTTTGCCGGAAAGAGCACCCCGTTATTAATATTGCGGAATCGAGGCTGGTCCGGGCTATATTCTGCACTTGCACTGGTTTCGAGTTGCTGTGAATTTCAGGTTGGTACGATGTTCAATATAGATTGAAAATTGGCATTGTTGTATGTATTTACTATTGTGCTATCTTGACGTCTGTGAGTGCCGAGCACGGAACACATATCATTCGGAGTATATGTTCCCTGGAAGAATAATTTCATGATTGGGAGGGTTGTATGAAGCTTGTCTTGATATGAACTCAGGGAATATGATCGGTTTCATGATGTTACAAGATACTGTCATGTCAGTTTCATTATTTCCTTCATTTCATGTGGTTATATAATTATGATGCGATCAAGACACTTGCACTACCAGTACCACTATATGTGCCAGCTTTCATGCACGGGAAAGTACGTATAGACGTAGCCCATACCGTGAGATCTGAGAAATATGGTTGGGGTTGACACAATGTGCCGTGCCTACGCGAGCCCACGATGCTCCGTAGTCTAGTCGTGCCCTTGAGAGCCCTTGGGTCGAGTTTACAGTGTTGTTCGCGACTGTAGAGGTCACCGTTATTCTAAGGTCGCACACTCGATAACTTATCATATAGACATTTCCCGTGGGGTTCAGTTTGCACGTGGCAAATATGGGATTTACACTTGTTCTACGATGATATCACGAAATTGGCAAAAATTGATTGCCGAATAATATGCAGTTTATTATCGCTCGAATCTGCCGGTGTAAATACGTACTGGGTGGCTCACTCGTGGTTGTTGGTTTGCACTGAGCGTATAATTGAAAGATCATATTACAGCCATACTCAAAAAGCAAATCTGTTTTGCCCGGGGGCCAGCGCAATTTGTCCGGCTCGGCGTTTCGTGCTATCGATCACGGGACGATATTACCCGCGTATTTCATTGTCTATTCTCCACGCGCTGGCTCACATTTCCTTGCTTCTTGCTCTATGCCCACATCACCGGGTCTCGATTTCAAGATTGTTTTCGTCTTCTCTTCATCATAAGATCATTCACTCGATCGTCAATCCCAATGGATAGTATTTGGAAATAATATGCAGAAGTAATAATATCTGGTACTTAGTACTAAATTGAAAAACGCACTACCCATGAATTACGACAAGTATACAATATCCCCCCCCCCCCCCAAAAAAAAAGAGGTGTTGGAGACGTCAAAAATAATATTGTCATTTTATACACTGTTCTTTCTTTATTATCCCCAATGTATAATGAGTATAAGTAAACTCATGGAGTAACTTCAAGTGGACAGGATTAACTTCGTGTTATAGGGAAACAAAACAGGAAACATGATTGCACTAAATACAAAAACCGCACTCTACAAACTGTGTTTAGCAATTATACACAACTCGAAAAACTGTGTTTAACAATTAAACACAATCTTGCTCTGTTGTTGAAAACATGTTCAGAAGATAAACATTACGCGTGCAATTCCTGAACACTAATGTTCAATGGCTAAGCACTATCCATCAATTCTCTAAACATGTAAACATGTTTGCAAACTGAGAACGAGAGAAAAAAGTGTTAGAAAAGTATTTAATTGCTAAACACTGTTTTGCAGTGCAGTATGGCAATAACAGTGAAATTGTTTCCTATAATGATCACGACTTTTTACATGTTCGACAGATGTCATAGCCAAACAACAACACAACAACAACAGCAACACCAATCTCCTGAAGAGCTGCAGTAACGCCATCCGAAAACAGGTTTTGGCAAGAATATATAAAACAACGCTGTCATGCGATTGCCAGTCCGTGTCTCAAAAAAAAAAATTGTCTATCGGCGTAGCTTCATATACCTATATATTTGGTAGCAGCAAAAACAAACGTTTATTTTTCAGGGGAAAAAAATTAGAGATGGGGCACAGACAATCAACAGGAACGTAAAACAAGCTCATTTGTTTCCATGCCATGATATTGCAATCGGAACTTGAGCTGTAATTACCTTTCAGATATTATTATGACAGTAAAATGCATGAAAACTCCTACACACATGTAGATGCGTGGTTTGCCGTCCATAACAATCTTTGCATTCCTTTATATCCCACAAACACCTTGCTTGCATACCGTCATATTTTTCTTTTCCATGGCGCATCATTTACGACTGACTTGGCTAACCTTGAGACCTATGACCTGCGTGTATGCCAACCCTGCGTTAGAACCAGACAAGAATTTGATATTGAGCCACACATTTTATTCTGTCACAGTAGTGACACCAGGCTCCAATTAAATTAGTATATACGGTCATCTGATAAACATATCATTATCAGGGATGCACATGTATTAATATATTGTCAAGGATAATTCATCCGACATGGTCACCGAAATAAATAGATACACATCGTTGTAGTAATTCGAGAAGGAATGTGTGTAATGATTATCTGGTCTGGGTGTAATTGAAAATGTATATCACACGCGCAATATGAAATGAATCCATCACGATAGAGGAATTCATAGCATGCAATTTGAAAAATATCTTTGACAAGGGTAATGGTTCTGCCTTCCAATTGGCACAACACAAACTGCAGACAAGTGACACTGGAAATAAATACATCCGCAACAGACGAATATTATTAAATTAGCATTGAAACCGAGGATCTTAGTGTTAAGCCATTGTATAAAACTAGTGAATTGAGGACTTTTTGTTAATCTTCTCAACAAAATAAAGCACTGGGGCCCTTGTTTTCAATGCTAATTTAGTCTTTTATTTAGTCTAATAAAACTAATAAGCCGTTTACATCTCGCATATTACCATGTCTTGAAAAAACTGAAGCGCAAAGTTCAATTGGAAATTATATTTTGAAGAGAAAATCAAGGAATACTTTTTCTTACTCAATTGTTGACACGTTGATGGAGGTTTTAGGCTTAAGTCGTGTAAAAATCAATCACTTCTTTAAATACAGGTCAAGTAAAAAAAGCGGACCCCAAACCCCCCAAAATATATTTCATATTTAAAAAAAATATGTAGCACGAAACATAATAATGACTTGAAAGCCACTTTCATTAGCTACTTATAGATGGAAAAAAAATACTGAAATTGCTCAATCCGTTCAAAGAATATCACCATTTAAACGCAATGACCCTAAAACCTGTTTCGTCAAAAAAAAACCCAACAATTTCTTGTGTATTCTGACTGTTTGGAACAACCAAGAAAATGACACATGATACTTGTTTCAACAACTCCCAACAACTGTAATACACAATATCGCTGGTGATGTTGGAAAACAGTTGTGACGACGATTCTTGAGATCGCATTTTTGGACGAAACAGGTCTTAAGGTCATTGTGTTTAAATGGGGATATTCTTTGAACGGATCGTGCAATTTCAGTACTTTGTTTCATCTAAAAGTAGCTTATGAAACTTGCTTTCCTGTCATTATTATGTTTGGTGCTAATTACATTTTTTTTAAATAGGAAATATAATTTTGGGGGTTTGGGTTCCGCTTGTTTTTGACTCGCCCTGTACTGTGTGTTCTGAATATTTGTGAGTGCTTTTCTCGAAGATTCAAGCATCATAATTGTCCGCCCTCACTCTGTTACCACAACATATTGTTTCCTGACTAGAAATTGTATTTTCCTTCTTCAGTAGTTGCCCTGTGCCATTCAATTTAGAAGATGAGTGGTTTTATCATTACCCCTGAACAGTACTTTGTTAAATTCTCCACAGGTGCATATATAATTGCCATAGCAGATGTTACGGAATATGTTGCTGCATTTACATGTAGCTCCAGGATAATGCACATATGTAACATGTATCCACCATCAGTGTTTGTCTGTCTTCTTACTCAATTTCATATTGTTTCTCGTTCACATGTAGTCCTAGGCTATACGTAGGGATGCAAAAAGAAGGAAATATCTGGAAAAAAATCGCAAGAATAGTGTTATGCTAATAAATTTGAATACAAGTCACCAACATTACTGTTTTCCACGTGTAAGTCTAGTGTAGTGTTTTTGTGTCTTCAAATCATCTCCAGAACTCATCAAGCGGATGAAATAAAGCCGTCCGTGGACAAACATGTTTGGCACATGATCGCAGAGACGAAATATGCATTTGATTTTTCCGTCACTTATGTTTAAAGATCAATATACCATTAAACTTTTGAAATACATGTCTGTTCAACAAGTAGGTGAAAATAAATTGCTGTCGATTTTCACCAACCTGTAGTATGCAGGTAACACCACAAGCTTCGCAATACAACGTCACAGTTAATATATTAAACATTTGTATTTATCATACAGTGTTCATCTTTCTATATATTCATCCTTTAATTTTTGTTTTCACTAACTCCTGTCCTGTGATTTGTCTACAAATTTGTTGTTTATCTTATATTGTGGTTTTCAGCAGTATGGATATTTGTTTGAATGAATTTAATGAATGGGGGAAGACAGGATAGGTTTCACCAATGTACTCGGTATCAGCACATTTCTGTGCAAAAAAATTACGGCCATTGATAGAATCACTGTACGTTAGTTCTAGCGAGATTTTTGTTACACTGGTTTTTTTTTTTCGTATGGCAGAATCGCTTCAGGATTATTACACGTGTACATGTACTACAGGCAATTACTGTTCACTTGAGCATCGGCTTTGTTTGGTTACGTCACGCCATTGTTCGTCTGGACAATAACACTTGCTTGTGTAGGGTTTTAGGAACTACACGACAACCCTTTGTCAACAATTCTCGAGGTTTACAGCGCGTGTTTGTTAAGCTGTAATTGCTAAATTCAGTTATGGCTTAACGAAACTCCCTTTGTTATTTAACCAGGGTGTACTTCTCAAACGACCTATTAATTACTGGTAATGTGTTTAAAGTATATAAGTCCATGGTTTTTCTGGGAAGGGGCAATAGAAGTTTAAATATTAAAATCTTTTTGGCAGAGCAAATTAACAATCCAATGTGAACGATTCACATTACGTCTCTGGAATATGATTGGTAAGCACGTGGCTTTAAACTTTTACTTGAATATTAACCTTTCATTTAATATGAACCTTTCCATTTAATACGAATTTGATATTATCTTCAAATATGATTTTGGCATCATCTGATTAATTTTAACTTTTTCTCTAATCAAAAATAAGTCGAAATTTGAAATTGGTGTTTTGTTACGAAAGACATGTTGAGTTTTTAGTAGTAAAAATACTGCTATTTTATGATGATTGTCCACTCATCAAGGTTAATTTTAAGACATGTATGATCCCTCTCCCAAACTTGTTTTATTTTTCCCCGCGGTACCTAAATTTAAACATGGTCCGAGTTAGAAAGGTCCTTGCTTTTTCAAACCAAACAACGCTTCATTTGATATGAATAAACTTGACTTAATCGACTCTATGGGTCATAAATACTTAAAAGGTCAAAATAAGCAGCATCGTGCCGCCACTACAGCACTATAGTATAACCAGTAAGCCAGTATCATCGGGTAAAAATAGGCTTCGATCAGTTATTTATATTCATTTGGCAGACAGCCACACTGGCGTTTGTTTTGACAGACACACCCCCGTCATATTTATTGTGTTGTTATAGCTATAATGAGTGATGGAGATATGCATGAAAGTTTGTCGCGGTAATATGAGTACACGTGCAGTCGTTAGCGTGTGGAATACGGTCTAAACTTGGATGTTTCGCAACACGGGTTTGCAGCTGGAAATGTTTGTGTGTACTAGTTTATAAAAATGAAACTGGTTTGTAGTATTTCATTTGTGAAGTTTATTTCATGTCAGTGTATTAGACATTATTACGGAACATCCTCCCGGGAAATGTTGGAATCTAGATGATTTATGCTACTGAAATGTATTGTGCAGCTAACGTGTCAAATCTAGTTATACTAGTCCCCTTCACAAATATAATGCATGAAGTTGAGTTTTAAGATCATTTTGTGATTATAACGGCATTTTTTGGAGGAGGGGGGGGGGTGTTCCGACTCTATTTTAGGCTATTTATCATATTTTCTACATGTCAGTTACAGCCCCTTCAACGGTTGACTTTTTTTTTTTGCAATTTCCCTTTGATGGTTAATCAGGTGAAATGAAATTGAGGGGTTCTCTCGATTTTTTTTTTTGGATTCATTAATTTATTTATTTTTCGGGGTATATGTTTTTTTTGTGTTTTTTTTTAAAATAAACCCAGGCATCGCTTGACAAATAAGGATATTCAAATGTAGCACAAAAGCAAACATTAGTTCCCTCCTTACGTAAAATAACTGAAAAAAGTTGTACATATTAAAAAGACAACATATTACCCTTTGGCTTGAGTGGGTCTTCTTTAAGCGATTGCACCATTATAATTATATATAGGTACTTGAAAAAGAAACACACGAAACTAGAGCTGAAACGCAACCTACAAGAGTCGTGTGCTCTTTCCACTCATCAGCCACGAACTTGTCTCTACGCTGTTGTAATTATCAACAGGCGTAGCTGGGCATCACGTTTCGTGTGGTTGGTTCGTATTCCTGCCATCATGTTACTGTCAAAATGTTGTGCATTATTGATTACATTAAGCCCGAAGCAATATTTTTGTGTTAAGGGTGAGCGCCTTCAATATGTCGTACAAAATAGGTCTACATGTATTATGTTATTTAAATGATGACATGAAACAGGCGGTCGATCTTGTATCGTCGTGACGTACATTGTTTAATAGCAGACGGTTTTATTTCCATCGCAGCATGTAACGTAAAATGACTCGTAACAAAATTAATGTCAGGCCGGGGCGATAATGAACATTTAAGGACATGGAACGCTGCAATTGACACTGAAACAGTAGGCGAACTGTTTGAAGAAGCGTCGTGCACCTGAACGGGCCACATAAGCCTACCATGATGGCAATTACAGTTATACTGAACAAGACATTTCATAGGCGTAGCCAGCGGGGAGGGGGGGGGGGTATTTACTAATATTTTGTAAAGACTGCCCTTTTCCATTCAAATGCCCTTTTTTTTCACCAGCGCTTCCCCCCCCCCCCACTATTTTGTAAAGTGTGCCCTTTTTTTTAATAAGTGCCGTTTTTTCTGAACAAGTGCCCTTTTTAAAAAGAAGTCGTGCCTTTTTTTGTGTCATTTTTTTTTTTTTTTTTAGTTCACGCATTTTTCGCCCTAAAAAGTACCATTGTCCATTAGTGTGCATAATCGTCGGTTTTGAACAGCGCCCCCATCGACAGATGGTACCAGTCCGCCCCCTCCCCCCCCCCCCAATGTTTTTTTTTTTTGTTATTGTTACAATGTGGAAGATTTCTGGCAAAGTTGCTTCTCAACCTCCAAGTTTCTGATGATAAACGTCTTCGGTACCTATTCCAGGACCCATTTATAGATTCAAGATGGCGTACGTCTACTCCAACGCCCTCAACGTCAGCATCGCCTTGATCGTCTTCGGTCTGATCCAGATCGGTATGTTCGTCAGCTGTCTGTTTGGCTGCTTTGCGCATTTCCCCATGGACTTCGCGTCGCCGGCTTGGAGCGGTGGTCTCGTAAGTTAACTTCCTACACATAAATTATTATTTTTCGCTCCGTTGTGCGTGCTTATGTGCCACTTCACTTAGTGTGGCAGATAGGAGAAATATTTGAGAAAGATATTTGGCTATAGGGCCATCGCAGAATTGTCCTTTGAAAAGGTATAGGCAGAGTAACAAGACATTTTCAAAATGGCTGCCATTGCTTGTTATTCTACCTGTATTTTGTTTTCAAAGGACAAATCTGCGATGGCCCTATAGCCAAATATCTTTCTCATGACATACCCTGACTGTGTGGCAAATTCCATGCTTATATCATCAAAGGAACAATCCCATCACCTATCTGCCGTACTATAACTAGGCAAAAAAAAGCAAACAAACAAACAAACAAACACCCCAACAACACCCAACAAACAAACAACAACCAACAAAAAGCCTAACAAACGCATCGGCTAATGTAGTCATTGTTTGGATATGTATGTCTATAAGAAAAGTCCATTTAAAGTTTTGCATTTTATACAATAAACCTATAACGTTTGTTGCATTCCTCAGATCTGATTCAATATATTACTCACAATAAAGATGAGAATTTATTTCGAAGATGTCATGTTCGATTTGTATTTGTATCGTTTTTTTTTTTTAATTCTTCAGTCAGTGTTCGCTGGGCTGTTTGGGATATGCATGATCTGTTCCTACAAGGAGATCAAGTGGGTAAGTTCAACCATCGGTTTTTGTTTTTGCATCATGATCACCGTCATTGAACCATCATTGCAATCACCATCATCATCGTCGCATTCTAAATCATCATTTCAGTCATTGTAACAATCTCCATTATCATTATCACCGTGATATTCGTGTCATATCTCTTTTATCTTCATCATCACCATCATCCCAGTCATCCTCATCTCTGTCATCCCCATCTCTTGTAATCTCGCTATCTCGTCATCTCAATCAGCTCAATTATCTCCATTACCTTTATCTTCTCCATAATCTCAATTATCTCCATCATCTCCCTCACCTCCATCATTTCCATCATCATCATCATCATCTACATCACATTCATCCCCTTCATCTCCACCATCTCCATCATCAACATTCTCTCTGTTATCTTCCTTCATCATATCAATCATAAATATCATATTCATCATCTCAATCATCCCCATCATGACCATCATGACCATCATCCCAATCATCTCTATTACTCCTTGATTTATCTCATCTCTGCCATCTTCATGGTCTCCATCATCTTAAGCATCGCCATTGTCTCAATCAACTTCATCATCACTATCATCTCCATCCTAAGCATCATCTGTATCGTCTCAATCATCTCCATTATCTCCGTCATCGTCTTCATCTTCTCCATCATATTCTCTATTTCCTTCATCTCCATCATCTCTATCATCTCAATTATCTCCATCATTAACATCATCTCCATCATCTCTATCATATCCATCATCTATATCATCTCTGTCCTCTCAATCATCTACTCATCTCCACTATCGCCATCATCTGCAATATCTTCATTCTTTATTCATCATTCCATCATCTCCATCATTTCCATAATCTCTTACCTCACCACCATCAACATTATCATCTCCATTTCCCCATTCATTATAACCACTGCCATAAACAACGAAGCAATCAATAATATGATCTACCATGTGCTATAAACACAGGATCTCCTCAAGGCCCAACGGCCGTTAATTTATCTCTAATGAACTGCCATTATAATTCCGCATTTGTTATGTTTTGCATAAACATGATGAGTTACAAGGATCTTTCATTGGAGGAAACGTAATTGCTTCTGAAATGGGATTTTTTTCGGGGTAAACCGAATTGACAAAGGAGAGCTAGCATTGTAATAATTACGAAAGCATTATTTTTTTAATGTAAGAAACCTACACAAATAGGGAAAAAACGAGAAAGACACTTTGTGCGACGTTTTTGACTCATACAGGGTTAGCCCCCCCCCCCCCAAAAAAACCGAAACCCAAATGTCGGGACCATTTTTTAGTGAAGTTCTGCATGTAGCACTTTCAAAATCTAGGATATAAAGGACCCAATTCATAATTTTTCGTCCAGTACAAGAATCATTCAAATCACTAATGTACTTTTCAAGTTACGGAATTTTAAATGTGAATTGTTTTCGTTTTGCTGAAAGAACACTTACCTTTTTTTGTGATCCGTGGACAGAAGTTTAAAACGGTGTGTGTGTTTAAAATTCCGTAACTTGAAAAGGACATGAGTGATTTGAATGATTCTTGTACTAAAAAGAAAGCTTATGAATTGGGCTTTCATGTCCTAGATTTTGAAAGTGTTACATGCAGAACTTCACTAAAAAATGGTCCCGACATATAAAGGGTTTCGTTTTTTTTACTCACCCTGTATATCGCAAAGATAACAGGTTTTTCTTGTGCCATTTTATTGTCCCTCCAAATGACAACGTTGCTCAGAACACTGAGTTGTTTAATGCGTAATTGTCCATGCAAGATGTAGAATAAAGAAAAAAAATGCATGTAAAGAGAAAATGGTTGTAATGAATTAAATTGCTTTCTCCTCTACCCAAACACAAAAGGGCAAAATTTTCTTCTTTCTGAGCATCGTCTCCATGGTAACCAGCCTAGCCTGTATCGCCATCACCGCCGGCCACACCATGGTGAAGGAGTACGCGCTGGCCGACGAAAAGGCCAGGGAAGGCTACCAGCCTGGGTCACGTGGTCCCTTCGTGGCCACGGGATTGGCTATCAACGGGGCCGTGCTGGTGTTCGGGCTCATCCTGATAATCTGCGCGTGCTACGCTACCTGGCTCAACTGCTGCTGTGACAACCGGCCATCCAAGGTGAATTACCCGGTCTGAACCGTATAAAATGACATCTCCCCAATGACAACATTCCAGTTTTGTTTTCCGATATCACGACAATAGTCTTCAGCACATTCTCTCCTCATTCGTTCAGTAGAAAGAGGTCACCCTGGTTCTGACTTCGAACACTCGTTGAGACTATTGTAAAATTCTTTTTTTTTATGTTCCCTTTCATGATGCATGCTTGAAGAAACATCGTTTATCTAGAATGTCAGTTTTAGTTGTAAGTGTATGGACCTTTTTTTACACGAGGGAGCCATTTTCAACCGTGTTTTTTGTATCTATTTTAATATGATTGTGAATTGTTAATGGAATGGTGCCAGACTATTTATCGATTGGAGAGCGTTCAAAGCCTCATTTTCGTGGTTTTTTATTTTTTATTTTATTATTATTATTATTTTTTTAATGTGGCTTAAATCATTAGAGTATGTATAATCAAAAATGTTTAATAACTCGTCGGAGCAGACTGATATTAATGTGTAAAGAACTTAATTTCAATGCTTTCATATCTACTCGCAAGTTCCAAAAATGAGGAGTTTACCTCGCTTTCAATTTGATATGGACGACTCGTGAATAAAGTCTATTTGTATTGTTTTCCCTCTCACTTCAGGGTTACGTCATGACACTGGACACGGTGGAAAACACCCATTACGTCACTGTGCAGGCACAGCCACCAGCCCAGTAGAAACCTCACCACGCATGCTTGATGACCCATGGAACTGCGTCTGATGGAACACGCATGCCCGATCATCAAATTAAATTTCTTGGACCTTTTGGCCCCCTCGTTTTGGGCCTCCTGAAATCACATCTACTACGGTGCCTTAAATGCAGTGGCTGTAATGGTTGCATTTTTTCAACTTTGATCAAAAACATTTAGTTCTAATTTGATTTGAACATGAATTAAATTGCTGCAAACTGCTTACTGATTGGATTGACCTGAAATATACACATCAAAACACTTAGCTGGCCTGATGTGTTTGTCTCAACAATAGTGGGGCAGATAGGGGAAATGTTAAAGGGAATTGTGAATTTGATGATACAAGCGTCAAATTTGGCACACAGGCAGAGTATGTCACGAGAAAGTTAAAATTGGCAATAGGGCCATCGCAGATTGGCTCTTTGAAAATAGTATTACGTAGAATAACAAGCAATGTTAACAAATATGGCTGCCATGGCTTGTTAGTGTAGCTATAGTTTTCAAAGGAAAAATTCTGCGATGGCCCTACAGGCAAATATCTTTCTCATGACATGCTCTGACTGTGCCAAATTCCATGCTCGTATCATCAAAGGCACAATTTGTGCACCTATCTGCCGTACTAAAATTATTTCCTTCTTCGGAGGCAGATGACAGTGGTACAAGAAACAAACATGCACGGGTGTAAGGACAAGCACAATGATTGATGTATTGGTAACTAAGATTTGTAAAGTATGAACTAGTTTCAATAATATTAAACTATGCGCTGCACAGCGCTCAGGGAGCAACTGAGAGAAACAAATTGCTTGGATGGGATGTACATGTCATTTGAAACTAATACCTACATAATTGTTCGATTTGTTTTGGTTCGCTAGTTATGTTTTATAGCAACATGTTTTTGCTATAACGCTACGCTCATTGCTGCACATTAATGTGGATTTTTGGTTACTGGTTTCAAAAGTAGACATAGAAACTTTCAAGCGAATAGAAATCTGTAAAATATTTTAGTGGGTTTTTTTTGTAAGTGTGTACATATAGCAGTGAAACAATTGGGCCTTAATTTGTGACACGAAGTCTCAACATTATTTCCCTTGTTGTTCATGTTGGTGCAAGCTATTTGCGCCGATATTGTTCAAATTTTAATGTATATTGTTGAGTAACGGGGCAGTAATACAAACCATGCCAAGAAAGCTTGCGCACGTGCAATGTTTTTTTTATCTACTCCGTGCATTTATGCATTAACTCAATACGTATACATTACTCAAAACATTATGTAAATGGTTTCATTCTTGGTAGAACGGGTACATAATTATACCCCAACAGACTTATTTATATGGACTGCTGATATTTTCGCCAAAAATCGCCCAAGTAATGGACGTAGTTTAAGCAAAACTACAAATAATTTGGCTTCTTTTTTAAAACTTCTGTGGCTCGGCCTAGGCTATTAGTAGTGCATGTCCGTCTTTTTACACTTTTAAACTATTTTTTTTTTTGTATTCAAGTAAATCTTCTTTTTTTTTCAGTGGAAGTATTTTGGATCATTGTTACGAGAAACATTGAAATAAAAACACTCGATTTTTAAATTTCAAATTCAAATCTCAGTCTTGATGCTGTTCTGCTTACCCTGACATCAATTTTGTTACGAACCAAATTTGAACTCAAATTGGACTAAATTTGGACCTCATTTGGACTTAAACTTCCCAGCAAAAATACACACTGGTAAGCAATCAACGCGGCATAGTGAAACACATGGAAGACACATTTGAAAATCCCACTTGTTTTAGCCTTAATTCTCTACATTCAAATTTGCTTTATATGAGGGCGCTCTTACCGTCCAGTTGAATATACATGTACATCTAACGTAGTGGAAAGATAAGGCTCCATTACAGGGTGTTAAAAAATAAGAAGAGGAAACCCAACTTCAAAGAATGAGTATGGATGAGTATGAGACGATATGTTTACTGGCTATAAAATTGGTATCATCTGAAAGCGTAATCTCTATGCTTTTCAATGAAACCATGTTTAGGTTTTCTGAGTCATGCATCAGTGAGCATCATTGTCTTGAAAACTGGATGCAAAAATGCAATCGGTTCACTTTCATAACAAAAAACCTACTGGGCACGGTGTGCCTATTGTTACGAAAATGTTTGTGAAATGGCTTGAATGTTAATCCTCGGGAAAATGGCACATTGTTTTGAACGTGGCTTGGTCAAAACGAGAAATTCATGACAAACAATAAAATCCAGTTTTGAAACCAACCCGACTTGTTTTTTTGGTTTCTTTTTATGCACTCGAGTCTTCTTCTTGAATACTTATTCTCATGCACACCATGCCTATTGTGTTTGACATGGAAGTGAACCAACTGAAATTTTGCGTCAAAATCTCATTACAGTGGCGCTCACTGATGCATGACCCTGGAAATGTAACAAGGTATCATTGAAAAGCATATAGAGATTACGCTTTCAGATGATAACAGTTTTCATAGCCAGTAAACATTTAGTCTGTCCATACTGGTATTTCAAAGTTAGGTTTCCTTTTTATTGAAACACCCTGTATATCAATGCAGCCATAGTGCAGCCACCTTTGCAATGGTAATGTGGACTGCCTGGTTGGCCTGTGCCGCCTGTGAGGTTTCAATTTAGATTTAGATTAATTTATTTTCACACCAATCGTGTCCTTGGGGCCAAATGAAAAGTGTGGTACATGCAATTTAAAAAAACACAATTAAAATTGGTAGTAAATAAAAATACGAATGTATCGAATAAATCTCCCGGTACAATGGTTTCGACTCCTCGAAGAGCTTTCAAAAACACGCGTTTATCTCCACCGCCAACCACAGGCCTGGCAACGCGCAAGCAGGATACCTATGCGGCTCCGATTTCTTTCCTGGCGAGTAGGCATGTTACATGTTACACGTTAATGTGAGATGCATTATTGGCGACTATTGTGTCTGACAGAATGAACCAAGGAAACGGTGATTTCACAAGGTTTTTATTTTTTTTTAGCTGCGTATGTAGGTCTCGTACGCGTGTCATTTTCAAACGGTACCTAATTTCAAAAAGTCCTTTATAATACATGCATGTAGAGTGTCCATTTCTACCACTTAACATCGAATAACAATAATACAAGTCCAAATTTAAGACTATACCCAATTCAGAATGTACATGCACGGCTGGACCATGTCTTGTTGTCCGTGATTTTCTATTGTTCTCGGCGGGCATAAAGCCAATAAATATATTCTAGCCGCAAAATGTCTGCGTCGCACCCCCATTTTTTTTTTTGGGGGGGGGGGGAGTTAAGCAGCATTTGTACTGGATATCATGCAAGTTTTTCTTTTCTCAGAATAACAAGGTAGTAGTCCTGCAATATTCCCCTTCAATTGCTAACCCTCAAATGCACAGATCTCAAAATCCTCTCTGAATGTGCAGGCAATTTGTTTTGTCTATTTAAAAGAAATCATAACATGAAATGGCCTCATTTAAGGGCGCCCTCTCTCTGACATAATTATGGTGTCGCAGGTTATTATTTTTTTTCCACTTCATGTTAACTGGGCCAAACGCCCTTTCATCCATTGTCATTTGTATGGCTCTTGACATATATGTTGCGCTGATGTACAATCCAGGATTCTTGGCTTATCGCCAAAGTCGATAAAACGAACAATAAACATAATATCGGATATCATGCGAAATGGAAAAGTACTTCCTCATTCGTTGAACTGGGCGAGTCAAGAATAAAGTGACCAAATTAGAAGAAACAAATATTGGCTTGCTCGATTTAATTTAAAAAAAAAAACAGAACACAGGCATAAGTATTATGCTATTGACTAGTATAATTGCGAAAATTTCACGTAATTTGCATACTCAATTCCCAACTTACGTCTATTTTAGTTTAGTGTTGTAGTACTCGTACTCGGACTCGTACTTGTACTCGAGTATTTTTGTCTGTACTCGTCTGTACTTTGCTTGTAAAAAATATGGGTTTTATTTAAATCAAAAACTATTGGATAGCAGGTTAAAGCACCATTCGCATTATTAAACCTTAATAATTTGAATCTTATTTCACTCTTGTCCTGAAACATTTACTATTGATGCGTGACTCCAGCTATACTTGTCTCAATCTACTTTTTAAAGTACACACAAAATCTGAATGATCCATAACTCCCACTTAATTGTTCCGGATTTACTCGACAATACACGTGGCTATAGCCTACTTCTGGGTTTAATTAAGTTGTCCAATTGTGTACAGTTGTTTGGATTTAATAAAGGGTTCACCTTCGTTCATGGGTGACATTCATGAACTATCTCGTTTTTCTTCAATATCTGAAAAGTACTATAGTTGGGAAGGTGCGTAGTTCCCCAATACCTGTAGGTTCCCCCGATACCGATGTTCCTCGAAATCCCTAGGCCTACCCTATAACCCTAGCCCTAATCCTAAGGTTTTCGGGGAACGCGTGGGTATTGGAAAACATTGGGGATGCCCCCCCCCCCGGGAAAAGTAGTTGTACTAAATCCCTAATCCAATGGATTTCGGGAAACATTGTTTGGAACGTGTATGTATTGGGAAACATTGAGGAGACCCGCCCCCATGGAAAAGTACTCGTATTTATTAATGCATTACAAATGTAAGAAAAGTACAAGAAATCCTTAGCCAGCTCTACCAGGAAGGATCTAGATCTGGAAATCCGCAGCAGAGTTCGTTCAGTTTAGCCGCCTTACGCTCCTAATAATGATGAAGGTACTACAAAAACAAACGAAACAAAATGCCAGTAGAAACAAACATCTATCAGTCATCAAATACGACATTGCTGTCTATATTGAAATGAATATGGGCGGATCAATGCTCGTTTGCGGATAATATAACAGCGCATATGGGCGGGTTTTGTGTCGAGTCCTGTATTTTTTCTGAACTCGCCAGAGCACCGGAGGACTTGTGGCCAAGTCTAAAAACTTCCACACACGTACACACGTGACGTACGCGGGTTGTGCCGTTGCCAGTCGCCTGTTGAAAGTATTATTGTGAGTGTTTTTTACATAACAATAGCACTCAGCGCAGTGTGCAGTGAACACTCGGTGCACCCGCTATACCACTGCACGGTTTGGTTACAGTAGGGGGATTTCAGTAGACCCATTCAGTCTCTGCGTTGTTGAGGGCAATCCACTTCACTCCGGGCGCACTGAAGCATTCCCAGAACTCACAAAACTCACAAAAGAAACGTGACTGGGCAGTGAAGGTATGTGGATGATGCATGCTGCATCATTGTCCCCCGTAAATCGTGCCCGCCGCTCCCACCTTTAGACCCCGACGGTACTGGCGAAGCTGAACAGACACGTACGGGAGGATATATTTTGTTTTGGAGTACATGAGCTAGTGTGGTGCGTGGATCACATTATAGGTCAACGTGTGGACTCCTACTCCTAGCTGTTAGTGAACTTGAACTGTGACAGCCAGAACGAGACAGCGTGTGGGTGTTGAAGAACCAACCAGATCTTGTTTTCGAATAGACGGTAAGTTATAAAAACTCAATGCCATGTGACATGCCTATAGTGTACATGTACATGCATGAACATGTTCTTGCATACTAGCCTTGTTTCTTTTCTTTTTTGTCGTTTCGGTTGGGCCCTCTAAGTAAAATGTATTGTAGTATGTTTCCCTGCTCTAGCTTTCTGGCCACGGTCATGGGATGAAAAATATAGAACTGGTAAAATAACCAAATCCCCTTAGATCACAGCTGTCTAAACATTCAACAACCTTTCGGTTCAAGACTAATGCTGGTAAAAAAGTTGGAAAGCACAGCTCGCAAAATACTAAAACCATATGGAGGACTTTTAATGCATATTTTACACACAGGCCTTTCCTGATATGAGCTTTGACAAAAAGAGGATGCTGATTTGTTAAATTGTGTGGTTCCGACCATGTTCCGACCAAAACCTTTTCGGCGAATCGGCGAATCTCTAAAACCTGAAACGGAAAGATTCCCATATTTGGCCATCACTAATTTTTGCCTTCAGTAAACTATCAGCCATCAGAGAGGGATAACATGTCCTAAAAAGTGAATATTAGCACGGGAAATATTTAAGTATTCACTAAGAAAACACTAACAAAATGTTTAGACCAGTCTCATAGGGTTTGTGCACAGGGTGACAAGTGGTGGCGAGATATGCGAATCTTTCCAAAAAAAAAGAGGATTTGGATTTGTTAAATTGTTTTGTTCCGACGAAAACCTTTTTGGCGGATCTCTACAACCATTTTTTTGCTAAACATTGTGGTTAAAGGAATCCAACAGCTCAGTAATTAGACCACTGCGTTAGAACCTTATTGAGCAATAAGTTTGTTTAGGGATCTAGTCATTAAGGTCCGATCCTAATCTGATGTACTCTGATTACGAAATTGATCAAACATTGAGTTAATACGATCTTATAGTGTGTTTAGCCCAGCATTAGTACAATTCGGAGACTGAGACCAAAAACGTGTACGTAACACCAACGACTTGGATTTTTACTGTGAAACATGTTCTGTGTAAATCACATATTCCTCAAAGGTTTATGGAAATAATGAGACACACCTTTGGTTTGTTCGAGGTTTAATGAAGTGTACTTTTCCCCCGACATTGTCAGTATCGGATAGGCGCCTGGTGCCAGCTGAGGGCGCTGTTACTCTTACGTCTTTTTACAGGCACACGCTCAACAGTTTTGGAAATTTCTGTACAAATCATATGAACTCAAATTGTAGCTCATTGTAAACATTTATGCACAATGATTTACATATGGTGTTGACCTCGCCTATTATTTCCTCATGAATAAGGAAGTTCGCATAAATATCACGCCATAATTGGTCTTCAAAACCTTTACATAATGTTGTATATTACTATCGCAATATGAACAATGTTATTAATCAAATGGAGACAATTGTAGTTAAGGGATTCATTGAAAGGCCTATTGGTTACTGTATATTGTTCAGGTGTATCTAAAAGACAACCGGTCCAACGAATATACGGGATCATCTTAGTTTCCATGATTTTGGTTCGTTTCTGAACTTGAACCACCCATAATCATAAGACGAATGTTCAAAACCTAACCCTTTGAATTTTCTTTTCAGTGGATATTACACTATTCAAGACAAAACAAATAAAACAATAAGATGCACAAGTTTTTGACCAGGAAAAACGATTTCGTCAAGATCACTTTATTCCATTTTATGTTTCAGTCAATTAACTGTTCGTTGGAAATCACCTACGTTTCTCGATTTCCTATAAACGACAGCAAGTCATACGGGTTATTTTCGAGGGGTGTTCAGTACCAGTACATGTGTTTGTTCTATATTTAATCCAAGCAAGCCTTTGGATACTAGCTTGGTAAATGCAAACGATACGTTATGCTGGTACTTAAAGCACTAAGTAAAGTTTGTTAAAACTAACATCTATGTTTATTCTGCACACAATTACGACACCCACACACATCTATAAAAGTATTCCAGATGTGCTATCACTGTTTACAACTATTCTTGACCTCGTGTTGAGTGTCTTGGCTTCACTCTTTTGAAAAACAAAAATGTGGATGTTACATTTAATGATCACTGATTTCGTGCGTGTTGACGTTTTAGCGTCATTCCATATTGGAGCATAGAGCAAGTCTGTTCCTTGCTCCATGATCTGAGTCAAGCAACATATAACATTAACATGGGCGTCGCCAGGATTTTTTTCCAGGGGGGAGGAGGGCAAAGCAAATTTTTCCCAAAAATTTCTTAACTTTTTCATTATATTCTCAATTTATCATTTTTGGCGAGCTGCGAAGCAGATGCGAGCCTATGTAATACCAATTTCCGTCCGTCTGTCCGGGCGCCCGTCTGTCCGTCCGTCCGTCCGTCCGTCCGTCCGTCCGTCCGTCTGTCCGGCCGTCCGCGTTCAGATAAAAATGTTGAAGTTTTTGGTTTTAGTTAACTTGGGGAAAAAAATTAAATGCAGTTGTCATGTATCATCTCTAGGCCTATAACTTCAGTTAGGTTCATATCATTGCAGTAAATTTTATGATTTTATTGAGGAACTTTAATTCAAGGAAATGTTAAAGTTTTTAATTGTTACATGTACATGTATACTGGTATAACATGTACATGTGTGTATACCGGCATAACATGTACATGTACACTATGCATTTTGGGGATGTGCATGAGCTTCTGGTTTGATCTTTTAGTTTTATGGGATTGGAGTAGGGATGGGGTAGGGGAGGGTGGAGTGGGTTGGGGGATAGGGGTTGGAGTTAGGGTTTGTGTGAGTAGGATGAGTAGGGGAGCTAGGATGGGTGGGGTGGGGTGGGGAGAGGGGTTGGAATACTGGGTTTGGGTGGGGTGGGGATTTGTAGGGGTGGGGTGGGAACTTGTAGGGGTGGGGTGGGACAGGTAGGGAGAGGATGGGCATGGATGTAGGGGTTGGGTTAGGAGGGGGTTGGGCAGGGGGCGGGATATAGGATCGGAGTAGGGGTTGGGTTGGGGATGTGTAGGGATGGGTTGTTGTAGGGGTTGGATAAGGGGAGGGGGCAATATATAGGGATCAGAGTAGGGGTTGCATGGGGTCAGGTGGGGATGTATGGGTGGGGGAATGGGGTGGGCGGGATATTGGAATTTGAGTAAGGGTTAGGGTGGGGATGTGTAGGGTGGGTAAGGACAGATAGGGGAAGATAGGGTAGGTGGGTGTAGGGGGTTGGGGTAGGGGAGGGTACGGGTCAGGGGAGGGGGAAGGAGATAGGGATTGGAGTTTGGGTGGGGTTGGGATGTGTAGGTGATAGGGTGGGGATGGTTAGGGGAGGATGGAATGGGTGTGGGTAGGGGGTTGGGAGGGGGAGGGGGCGGGTTGGGGATGGGGTAAGGTTTTTGGATGGGGTAAGGTTTGGGGGAGGTGGTGATGGTGCTGTGTCTACATGTACATGTATACCCATTCTTGTTCTGCATTTGTGGCGACTACACAAGATTTTTCCCATGGTAATACAAGTATGGGGAGCAGAAAACACTGTTGGGGCTGCAAAAATCCACAACTGGGTCCTAATTACCCTAACAATGGAAAACTCCCCCATAATACAGTGACGGCTAACCTATATACACATGTATTTATTAGGTAATCTGTTGACTTTTTATGTTGACATTTAAAAACTGACCCCTACACCTAGGCACATCAACAAGAATCCTGATCCCCTTCCATCATGCCCATCCCCAACCCTACCTTCAGCCTCCCTTCCTGCCTTGGACAGCGAGCCATGGCGGCTTCGCCGTTCTAGTTCCGAGCGTGAAGAGGGGAGCATTTGCCCTCCCCCCCCCATCAAATAAAAAGCAATATAGCTTCGCACCTCTTTTTCCTTTGTTCCCTCTCTTTTTTCCGTTTTCCGGGGGGAGGGGGGGGGGGTAAACGCCCCCTTGCTCTCCCCCCCCCCCATCGCGACTCCCATGAACATTAACCCCCAAGCGGGAAGTCAACATTCAGAACAATTAAGTAAAACCCTTTAAAACCCTGCAGGTCAGTTTCAAATGGAGGGATACGAAGTGTTAAAGCAACTGTGTCACACAGAAAGTTACTCCACAGAAGCAGCTCTTTGGAGAGCAGTGGGCGACCGAATCTGCATGAAATGTGCAGAGATTTGAAGTGATCCATACTCCACAGAAGATTACATAAAAAGGAATTTGAAGTGTGGGCATAAGTGGTTTTGCAAACCTTGAAGGATTGTAACGTGAAGGAGAGTGGGAGTGTTACATAAAAATCCCTTTCCCTGGCCATTATTAATCTTTATCAAATGCTATTTATTTATCCAACATCAAATCGCGTCACCTCACAATTCCAACACAAACTTCCTTGTAGGACTAGGACATCACGGAAACCTTATCGCTCGCCTGTTTCGTTAGGGAAAATCCCTTGTGGCGTTGTAAACACATCACCAGCATTGTATGTAAAGCCCAACAAAACTCGTTACTCGTCCGAGTTTTTTTTGTAAAAAGGTGATGCGGGCACTTTTTTAGTTGCCAATGACGGATCCACGATTTTCAAAATACCTACCACTTCTGTGCGGTTTTTCTCCAAGACTTTTTTCCGGGTTTTTTTGTCTTGCCCATCACTTTCTAAGGTTACATTTTACCTCAAATGGCTGCTCATTCATGTTGGAATCAAATATTAAACCTACTGCTGTTTGAACGGTAAACAAATATATCCTCTTCCCTTCCATACCTTTTACACAGGCTAGTCACCAACAGTCAGATCATATTTCAAGCAAGCACTAGACTAGTCAAATTCAGTCAGCAGACAAAAGTCAGACAACGGTCTGCACAGCCGGCTTATCAATCACCAACAGTCAAAGCATACATGGTGACCCCCAAACAAATGCAACCCTAAAACATTTGCCTTTAAAAAAAGGATCGGTAGATTTTTATGTTTTGGGTATCTGATTAAAGCTAAGAGCTTTTTCTTACTGGAAAAGAAATCATGAAAATAGCAGTTTTCGGTTGCTGAGAAAAATACAATTATGTAAAA